CATTGTTTCCTGTCTTGCCTTCTGGTGCCCCTCTTTTTTGTGGCACGCATATCAAACTCTCATGTGACGTCGCGTAACGTATCGTGACTTTTTCCCCATTGCCAGGAATGGGGTGGCCACGGTTTCAGCGTGACACATCTGGCCGGTAGGCCGGCAGTTTGACACGCCTGCCTTAGATATTGAAAGACTGCTGTCACGTCACCCCTAGTCCTTCTCCTTGCTACATACCCAGTTCCTGCCACTGTTCATTGTACTCTTTAGCCTCCAGACCCCTTTGTTTGAAATGGGTTTGGTGCCTGGAGCCCTCCGAGGAAGCAGGATCAATCCAGATCAGTGTTCCTCAACCTTGGCTGCTTTAAAATGCATGGACTTAAACTCCCAGATGTCCTCAGCCACTTTGAACAGTCGCTATACAAAGGGCTGTAAGTCAAGGACCACCTGTCACTGAATGCACTAAATACAGAATAGCAACAGCACTTGCACTTATATGCCGCTTCACACTGCTTTACAGCCCTCTCTAAGCTCTTTACAGAGTCAGCATATTGCATTCCCCCCCCCCAACAATCTGGGTCCTCACTTTACCAACCTTGGAAGGATGGGAGGCTGAGTCAACCTGGAGCCGGACAGGACCGAACTGCCCAATTGCTGGCAGCCGGAAGTCAGCAGAATTTGCTCTGCAGTCCTGCATGCTAACCACGGTGCCCCCAGGGCTCTTGGAATATGTTCTTCAGGGAGAGACCCGTCTTCAGGCTCGGAAGCCATAGAATTTTCTGCTCTGGAACTTTTAAATTCTCTTCCAACTTGACAGTTGATGACGGTCACAAAAGACGTGTGGACGTTGCCAGCACGTTGCGAAATGCTTTTGCACGTGTGGGCAAACTTTGGCAAGAGAAAGCAGCGTAGTGAGTGTCCTTGCAAATATTTGTGCCTCTTTGGAAACCAGCCCGAGCAATTAGAGCCCACCTCAGTCTGGAGGGGGCTCGGCCCCAGCTGCCAACTTTTCAGCGGGGTTTCTGTGGTGGCTTCCACCCCAGAAGTGTCAGCCAGGCCAGGAAGTGGAGGTGGCCGTCATGTGCTCCGTGCGCCTGAGGTCGGCGTCAGCAGCAGCCAAGCGGGAGGGACGGATCCCTGGCTCAGCCTTCGGTAAGCAAAGCGCTGGAAAAGAGGCCAGTGTGTGATGCTCAGCACAACTTGGCACAGGTTTCTGGAGTTTGGTTTGTGGTGTGTCTTTCCTGTTCTGAGGCAGGGAGAAAAGGGCAAGAATTAAAGCAAACACAAGACAAAGAGGAAACAAGAAACTGTCAACAGAAATACTTCTAAGCCTGCCGACGGGGCTCTTTTTATGCCCATAAATTTCAGATAGGCAGCCAGACGGAGACCAAGCTGCGTGCGTCTCCTGATGATAGGCAGCTGGCTTTATAAAAGAGCAATAAAGAGCAATTATGGCAGTGTTGGTCCATGGAGGGGGGGAATCCAAAATTCATAATTAAGTCAGCGAGGGTGGACACCTATGGCAATTTAACAACTTTATCAATTTAATACGGACAAACCATTTCTATAACAGCAAACTATATTAATCAGCAAAACCCCAAATCAAGAATCTTCTTTTCTCTCTCTCAAGCACAAAGTTCAGAAGCGATTTCCAAGTAGAAACAAAACTGAATATGTTGCTTTCTCTGAGTAAAACAGTCCGTGTGGCTGTCTCTGCTAGCTCCGTCCCTTTCCCCATCCAGTCTTCCATGTGGGGATTGGCTTATCTTTCCATTTCTGTCCATGCTCAGAGAGATCTGTGAAGGTTCGTGTACTGGCTGAGGAGAATCTCTGGAAGGGACCGTCCACCCCACCTCGCTCCGTCTTGTCAAGAAGGAGGCTTGGTCAACCTTATCAAAGTGCAAGTTCACAATCTTCACCACATTCCTTCATCTTGCAGATCTAATCACTTTGTCAGAGGAAGCAACAAGATTAAGGTGGCACCTGTTGTTTTTAACAACCCCATGCCAGCTGTGGGTAATCACCTTCCTTTCTAAGTGCTTCCACGCCGACCGATTGGGGATTTTCCCGGGCACCGGTGTCACTTGTGCCAGTCTGGAGTTTCCTGGGTCCCCTTTAGAAAGATAGGAAGGAGGTTGCTTGTCTCCAGTCTTCTGTGACTTCCCTTGAACTTCAGGAATTCTCCAAAATTACAGCTGCTGGTTCGGAGGATTCACCTGCTGGTTTCTTTATTTCTCTATGATGTGACCTTTTTTTGGCCAGGCTGACTTGAATTAATGCAGCGCAGCTGGACAGATGCCCTTCAGCCTTCTCCTGCTTGCTGCCGCCATTTTCTGCTAGTAGCCTGGTGTTTCCTTGACTTTCCTTTTGTTCGGCCTGCACTGTCCCCACCAAGCCTTCTTTGCTATTGTTTGTGTTTGTTACAAGCCACAACTGAAGTGAAGCCTTAGCCTTCCGGGGCCCATCCTGGGCTGTTTCCAGATATCTGTTAGTTTCCCCCCCACTTTAAAAAAACACAAAAACTTCTGCTTTTTGTTTCTCATTTTATCAGAAAGCTCTTTATGCAGCCAACTCCCAGTTTGTCAGCCTCCCAGTGCCATACTGGTGTCTTTCCTGAACACCTCAGCTGCCTCGTTTGTGCCAGTTTCATCTATAGCTCCTGCTTGGTCAGGCGACCTGTGGTGGGCATTCAAAACAGTGTCATTATTGGGGTTCCCCCCCCTTAATTTCCACAGTTTTGAGGGATGACCTTGGTGGTCGTGAATCATTTTCCACATAGAATCCTAGAGCTGGAAGGGACCTTGGAGGTCTTCTAGTCCAACCCCCTGCTCAAGACAAGGGATCTTATTATGCCACACCCCTTTCCTTTCCTTAGTTACAGATTATATCCTTCTAGTATTTTACTCCAGGGTGAGTTCCATCAGTTATTATCAGTAATAACAACAGTATCATATTTGCCTGCCTATAGTGAGACTTCAAGTTTGTTTGTTCCTCCTCTGTGGTTTCGTATTGCCTTTTTAGGTCTGGTGGGCCTCTTGTTGCGTTCTTGAGCACCTCTTCCTTTTTACAACTTCCTTGTAAGGTCTGCTGCTTTCTTCCTTTCTAAGTGTTTGCCAGCTCCGATCGATGAATTAGCAGGGGGCCCTGCAGAGTCTCGCAGACTGCCAGTGTTCGGTGTTCTGTAAGTCAACCTGTGAAATTACTCTTACGTTGGATGTGGGTGTGGTTTTTGTGTCTCTGGCAGATACCAGAGCAGGACCGCTGGGTCAGACGCTCACAATGGGATGCTGATGCGAGTTCTGCACTGGGGTGGATCTTGGAATGAGTGTAAAGAGGAGACAGCCAGACGGAAGATTGGCTCAGATGATGGAGCCAACTCAACCAGCATTTCTCAAACTTGGAAATTTTAAGATACGTGGACCAACTCCCAGAATTCCCCAGCCAGCATGAATCTAGATGTGTAATGCTGGCCAGGGTATTCTGGGAGCTGAAGTCCACATATCTTAAAATTTCCAAGTTTGAGAAACGTTGCACTAGACCCGTGGTTCTCAACCTTTTGTTCATTATGGGCCCCCTTTAAATAACTTTTGTGGCCACCGACCGTGGCCAGGGACCCCCAAGACGTAACTCAAGATTTAAGTCATAACATTTTTTCAAGCCTTTGCGGATCCCCTGTGACATTGCGCCCCCCTCCCCCCCAGGGGCCCGGGAACCACAGGTTGAGAACCACTGGACCAGGCAACGGGCAGTTGGATGACAACAAGTTGCAATAACCTAGGATGATAGGAAGCTATTCTGAATGAAGGCAGACCCTCACTTTACTCCTCCTCAATTGGCAACGCCCCATAGATCCAGCCAGGATTCATTGAAGAGTCGAAAGGGAGTGTAGAGGTCATCTAGTCCAAGCCGCTACACCATGGGTGGGCAACTATGGCCCCTTTACAACCTGTGGACTTTAAAGTGGAATCGCCCACCCCTGCACTACGCTGCAAGGACTGCAGTGTTGCAGGAAACGCCTGTATCCCCGAACTTGCAAACAAACACGCCGCACACTGAGCACACTGAGCAAAGGCCGAGTGAATTTTCCCTCTCATCCTCTGCATTCCTCACTCCTTCCAGCCTAAAACAAGGCATGCCTGACATGAATTTATGGAATTGGTAAAACGACCGCTGCTTTTACTTCCTCCATTCCCGTCTCCCAATTTCTCCCCTTCCACCAAACTGATGCTTTCAAGGGATTGCAGGCAGGAATGACCAAGCTCCTTTAAATATATATATATATATATATATATATATATTTCAAAGCAGTTTGCAATCCTCACCTTGTTTTGCACTGTTGCTTCAAAAAGACTTCACTTCTCCTTTTTTTTTTTTTTTTTGGTGTAAAAAAAACCAGTCAGCTGCGTTAAGTTTTATTCCAAAGATGTTCAGAGGCTTGAGAAGGAGAGACAGGTGTCACGAGCAATTTGGCCAACGGTGGAATTGCACACACCGTTGAAACAACCATGCAGTGATTCTTGTACAGATGTTTTCCATCTGGAGAGGCAGAAAAGGGTTGCAAAGCCCCTTGGACTCTGCAGCCGTAGCCCCCTCCCCGAATGCTCCTCAGGAAGAGCTTGCAACTCTCTGGGGCTGGCTCAGAGCCCTCCCACCCCCTTGCAGGCTGGCTTCAGAGTGCGGAGGTGCCTTCCAGCAGATGCAGGCCCATGCCAGCTTCTCAAGCCTCTGCCCTCAACTTGAACCAGCGGCTTCTCCTTCCTCATTTCTCCAAAGTTTTTCACGAGAAGCCACAAGGAAGGACCGGCCAGTGTGGCCCAACGGCTCAAACCGATCATCTCAGCCACTTCTGCTCCAGACAAGAGGGAGGCCCTGGATTGCCAAAGCAGGCACTTCTAACATCCGTTTTCTCCTCCTCTTCCTCTTTCTCCGTTTCTTAACAGCTGCCCAGTCAGGACCAGGCCCTCTCCGGCTCCTTCAGCCTTCTTGGTGACGGCCTGCTGTTAACAGCCATGAAACCGGGCCGATTCCCCTGCCTCCTGGGATGCCTTCTGATGGCTGCGGCCAGCGTGGGCAGCAACGTGGTGCCTAGAATGACCTTTCAGAGAGGTAAGGAGCCACAGCGCAGGACGGTGCCCGGGGGGGGGTTTCCTCGGAGGACTCCCAGGCAGGCTGACACGGGGGCTGAGAGCAGCACTTCCCACCCCCAGATTGCACCTTCGTAATTCAAAGTACCTTTCACCGCCTCTCGTTAAAGGCAGCACAGCTATTCGCGCAACGGGTGTGGTGCAGTGGCCAGGCTGCTTGTTTGCTTATTATTCATTACGTTCATATGCCGCCCATTTCATTTGTCAAGTGGCTCTGGCTGGCTTTCAGAAAGAATAGAGCATTAAAAGTTTATTAAAATGAACAGAGATTGAATAGTTATATTTAATTATAACGATTAAATAAGGACCAGAATTGGGATCCAGGTTTCCCTGGCTAAGTCACGGTTGTTGGGCAAACCCCTGCAGTTATTAAGTGACTCGTGTAGTCATTAAACGAATCCGGCTTCCCCCATTGACTTTGCTTGTCAGAGGTTGGGAGGGATGGTCTCGAATGGCGATCACGTGACCCTGGGAGCCTGCAACCCTTGTTGTAAACAGTGCCCAAACTTTGATTGTGTTAGGGTAGGTTATGCTGCAGTGGCCGTAAATGCAAGGGTTGGTCATAAATCGCTTTTTCCAGAGTCACCCTGAGTTTGAAAAGCCACCAAGCAGCTGGTTATAAGTCGAAGACCTACTGCCTGCCCAGCTAGGAAAAGGAGGGGAACGGAGGCCAGAAGCTTCTGCATCTCGGATCCTCTCCATTCCTCTTAGAAGTGGCTCTGCTGAGGGTGAAACTTTTCCGAAGAGCGTCTGGCTGTGCACGTCCTCCCCTCCTTTAATCGTTTCACATTGAATTACTTCCGCTGGCTTGCTAGGGTTTTGTTTTCTTTATTTTTCATTACCACTCTTATAATTTATCCTTGTGGTGTTGTGACTTTGATTAGCTATGGGTTGTTTTTATTTATCGATGTTCATCCACCTCTTAACTGATGTGAATGTTTGTTGTTGTTGTTCTTGTTTTGTAAACTGTAGTGAGCCTGTGTTAATTCAGGCCCATCTAACTTGAATGAATCGATAAAGAATACACCAAAAACCAGCGATACTCAGTGAAAGGCACCTGGGCCCCAGTTAGCATATTTAAGGCTAAATAGGATATTTAGACCCTTTTCAAGCGTGTGAGAACTCCTTAGCAGCATCTCCTGCAGCATGTTAGAGCACGTTTGATTGTAAAATGACAAATCTTCTGGTTGAAATCTTTCCTTTTCTGAAAATGAGAGGAAAAATCACACAGAGGTGATTGAGGTTGGAGTGCAAAGCTGACACCATCACATCTCCCACAATTCCTTTCTTCAGAATAAGCATCAGAGCTTCACAGGGTCCATTACAGGAGCCACATAGTCCTCCTGACCGAGTCTTGACTCAGAGACCCGATTTTTCAATAGCCGTTGCCGTATTTTCAGCTACATGCTGGTTGTCGCCATTAAAGCCCTTTATGGCTTTAAGGCCAGGTGACTTGAAGAACCTTCTAGACTGTCAGGACTGCATTGTTGTCTAGGGTGTCTAGATTTTCTTGACATTGTACACCATATACTAAATAATAAAATAAACTTGAAGAACCACCTTTTCACATTGTATCTACCTGACCCAAGTGGGGCAAGGATGTAGAGGATGCTACAGGTACCCTCTCTTAAGGAGGTCCATCTGGAGGGACCCAGAAGAAGGGCCTTCTCTGTGATGGCCCCCTTCCAGTGGAACATCATCCCTGTGGAGATACGATTGGCCCTACCTTGATACTCTTTCAAAAGGCCCTGAAGATCTGGTTTTGCCAACCTGCCTGGGGACCCCGGGGGGATATGCAGCCCTTGCTTTGTAGGGCTCTGACAGCCTTGCCAGGTAGGCCAGATAGGAAACCCTCCCAGATGAGCTAATTCTACCTTATTGTAAAGCAATATTAACAGAATCTTGCAAGTCTGGAAGGACAAATCTCCCTCTGTCTCCTTCACAACCTGAGGTCCTCTCTGAGCCTTTTCCTCTGCCCATTTTGCAGCTGTGGGCTCAGCTGTCTCTTATCTGATACGCCCTTGGCAGCATCTCTTCACCTGGCTCCTAAGCCCACCTGCCCCTACAGGCTCCTGTCTCTGAAGGATCGCTGCCTGCCCGGGGGCTCCTAACCGTGGGGCAAAGGTGGCTCGGAAGCTCTCATCACATTGCCCTCATCCAGCCCATGAAGGAGGACCTTCCCCTAGGGCCACAGAGAAATGCCCTCCGTCTGCTGAAAACTTTCCTGGCACGGATGCATGGATCCCCTTGCCAGCCCCTCTCCTAACCCCCCCCCCAGGTCCATGCAGGTCGTGATGCCCCTGCAGGATAATGGCCCTTAAAAGGGGAGATGCTGAGTCGCTTCTCTTTGCCATCCACTGGCATCACCGCTGCTTAAACTCAAAATCCATTCAATGTCTGCAAAGATTAAAACGCATTAGAAGAATCTGCCTCGCCTGCTGATGGTTGGCTGCAAAACACTGCTTTACACCCAGCCATCGATTCCTTGCGTTAAAATGGAGATTAATCAATCCAGCCAGTTGCAGGTCCCTTGGGTGCCACCCCGAGGCTGGCCCTGCTGCCTGCCAGCTTTGGTGCCACCCAGGGTCCCTGGGTAGATGGGGGGGCAGGAGAGAAGGGGCGCCCCAGGCCACCTCTGGGTTAAAAGCAGGCATCTCCCCTGAAGCTGGCAAAGGGCAGGCGGGGCGATACAAGCCAGGAATTTAGGCGAGTGGCCGTTGAGAGGCAGCACCTTAATTATAGGCTCTCTGGCCTTGAAAGGATCTGTCAAGCCTGCAAGGCTTAATCAGCCTCCGCTTCCTTCCTGGGCTGGCCTGCTGAGGTGGTGGGGACGATGCCTCTTGCTTTATCATCGCTGCGAGTGATGGTGTGTGTGTGTGTGTGTGTGTGTGAGAGAGAGAGAGAGAGCTTCTGGGCAGGGGGATTAAAACCCACCCAGGGAGAGATGTGTGTGAGTCTTTGGGAAAGACTGGATAGTGGATAAAAATACCAAATCCAGCCTGAACCAAACCCAGCTGGCTGCGTGATGATGAGTGATAATGCCAGGGGTCTCCGCTGAGAGGTTAAACCCACCCTGGAGCCTGATTGTTTTGTTTACTGGTGGAAGAAGAACGGTTTTTTTCAGCCCCGTACGTGTTTTGACATGGTTTTGTATATTGATTTGACCAACCATGTTTGTTTGTTTGTTAAATTTTATTTGGCACCCATCTTGCCGTGGGACTACTCTGGGCGGCAGGGCTGACTGGGGAATTCTGGGAGTTGAAATCCACAAGTCATTAAGTTGAAACAAGGCTTTGGTCAACGGCACCAGTTGGGGAATTCTGGGAATTTTAGCCATCTTAAAAGTGGTCAGGTTTGGCCTTACGAGATGCTCCGAAACGCGGGAAACGCCCCTCTTTGTTATGCTGGTTGGGGGAACTCTCTGGAGCAAGTGCTTGGTTGTGTCTTACTGTTTTAGCCTTTGTTTGGGGTTCATTTCCTTCCTTCCTTCCTCTCTTTTGGCTGCTTGCAGCTTTCTAAGCCTGGGAGAGAGCCCCGGTTTCCCTCCTTCAGAGCCTCTGGGCTGCCACCCGTTCACGGCCGGCTGAAACGCCTGATGTTTTTCCCCTAAAGCTGCTGGCAGATTTGGCAGCTGTTTAACTTCCGGTTGAGCAAGACACCAGGCGCCCCATGAATGGGGGGTGGTGGTGGTGGCTGCTCTAAAGCGGGGAGAACCAGGCACCCCAGATTTTGGAAGAGAAGAAACAGGTGCCCAAGGCTTGTTTGGGTTACAATGAACCTGCACAGTTGTACAAAGCAGGCTACCTCCTGGGGAGGGGGTTTGATTTCCCCCCCCATTTGCCCCCCTGCTCCAAGGCCGCCTTCTTTTCTCCTGCAGGGGACCCCAGTCGCGAGGTCGGCACCTTCAGCCAGGAGGGGGTCCTCAACTACGACACTTTCCTCTTGAGTGCGGACGGAGCAACCCTCTACGTGGGCGGGAGGGACGCCATCCTGGCCCTCGATATCAGAAGCACCCCCATCAGGCTGAAGGGGAAGGTGAGTGGAAGAGGGGGGACTCGAGGAGGGGGAAACCAGGAGGCTCGGGGGGGGCATGCAAGCTGGGGGGAGACTCCATGTNCCAGCGGCTTCTCCTTCCTCATTTCTCCAAAGTTTTTCACGAGAAGCCACAAGGAAGGACCGGCCAGTGTGGCCCAACGGCTCAAACCGATCATCTCAGCCACTTCTGCTCCAGACAAGAGGGAGGCCCTGGATTGCCAAAGCAGGCACTTCTAACATCCGTTTTCTCCTCCTCTTCCTCTTTCTCCGTTTCTTAACAGGACCAGGCCCTCTCCGGCTCCTTCAGCCTTCTTGGTGACGGCCTGCTGTTAACAGCCATGAAACCGGGCCGGTTCCCCTGCCTCCTGGGATGCCTTCTGATGGCTGCGGCCAGCGTGGGCAGCAACGTGGTGCCTAGAATGACCTTTCAGAGAGGTAAGGAGCCACAGCGCAGGACGGTGCCCGGGGGGGGGGTTTCCTCGGAGGACTCCCAGGCAGGCTGACACGGGGGCTGAGAGCAGCACTTCCCACCCCCAGATTGCACCTTCGTAATTCAAAGTACCTTTCACCGCCTCTCGTTAAAGGCAGCACAGCTATTCGCGCAACGGGTGTGGTGCAGTGGCCAGGCTGCTTGTTTGCTTATTATTCATTACGTTCATATGCCGCCCATTTCATTTGTCAAGTGGCTCTGGCTGGCTTTCAGAAAGAATAGAGCATTAAAAGTTTATTAAAATGAACAGAGATTGAATAGTTATATTTAATTATAACAATTAAATAAGGACCAGAATTGGGATCCAGGTTTCCCTGGCTAAGTCACGGTTGTTGGGCAAACCCCTGCAGTTATTAAGTGACTCGTGTAGTCATTAAACGAATCCGGCTTCCCCCATTGACTTTGCTTGTCAGAAGTTGGGAGGGATGGTCTCGAATGGCGATCACGTGACCCTGGGAGCCTGCAACCCTTGTTGTAAACAGTGCCCAAACTTTGATTGTGTTAGGGTAGGTTATGCTGCAGTGGCCGTAAATGCAAGGGTTGGTCATAAATCGCCTTTTCCAGAGTCACCCTAAGTTTGAAAAGCCACCAAGCAGCTGGTTATAAGTCGAAGACCTACTGCCTGCCCAGCTAGGAAAAGGAGGGGAACGGAGGCCAGAAGCTTCTGCATCTCGGATCCTCTCCATTCCTCTTAGAAGTGGCTCTGCTGAGGGTGAAGCTTTTCCGAAGAGCGTCTGGCTGTGCACGTCCTCCCCTCCTTTAATCGTTTCACATTGAATTACTTCCGCTGGCTTGCTAGGGTTTTGTTTTCTTTATTTTTCATTACCACTCTTATAATTTATCCTTGTGGTGTTGTGACATTGATTAGCTATGGGTTGTTTTTATTTATCGATGTTCATCCACCTCTTAACTGATGTGAATGTTTGTTGTTGTTGTTGTTGTTTTGTAAACTGTAGTGAGCCTGTGTTAATTCAGGCCCATCTAACTTGAATGAATCAATAAAGAATACACCAAAAACCAGCTATACTCAGTGAAAGGCACCTGGGCTCCAGTTAGCATATTTAAGGCTAAATAGGATATTTAGACCCTTTTCAAGCGTGTGAGAACTCCTTAGCAGCATCTCCTGCAGCATGTTAGAGCACGTTTGATTGTAAAATGACAAATCTTCTGGTTGAAATCTTTCCTTTTCTGAAAATGAGAGGAGATGTACTGGAAAAATCACACAGAGGTGATTGAGGTTGGAGTGCACAGCCGACACCATCACATCTCCCACAATTCCTTTCTTCAGAATAAGCATCAGAGCTTCACAGGGTCCATTACAGGAGCCACACAGTTCTCCTGACCGAGTCTTGACTCAGAGACCCGATTTTTCAATAGCCGTTGCCGTATTTTCAGCTACATGCTGGTTGTCGCCATTAAAGCCCTTCATGGCTTTAAGGCCAGGTGACTTGAAGAACCTTCTAGACTGTCAGGACTGCATTGTTGTCTAGGGTGTCTAGATTTTCTTGACATTGTACACCATATACTAAATAATAAAATAAACTTGAAGAACCACCTTTTCACATTGTATCTACCTGACCCAAGTGGGGCAAGGATGTAGAGGATGCTACAGGTCCCCTCTCGTTAAGGAGGTCCATCTGGAGGGACCCAGAAGAAGGGCCTTCTCTGTGATGGCGCCCTTCCAGTGGAACATCATCCCTGTGGAGATACGATTGGCCCTACCTTGATACTCTTTCAAAAGGCCCTGAAGATCTGGTTTGGCCAACCTGCCTGGGGACCCCGGGGGGATATGCAGCTCTTGCTTTGTAGGGCTCTGACAGCCTTGCCAGGTAGGCCAGATAGGAAACCCTCCCAGATGAGCTAATTCTACCTTATTGTAAAGCAACATTAACAGAATCTTGCAAGTCTGGAAGGACAAATCTCCCTCTGTCTCCTTCACAACCTGAGGTCCTCTCTGAGCCTTTTCCTCTGCCCATTTTGCAGCTGTGGGCTCAGCTGTCTCTTATCTGATACGCCCTTGGCAGCATCTCTTCACCCGGCTCCTAAGCCCACCTGCCCCTACAGGCTCCTGTCTCTGAAGGATCGCTGCCTGCCCTGGGGCTCCTAACCGTGGGGCAAAGGTGGCTTGGAAGCTCTCATCACATTGCCCTCATCCAGCCCATGAAGGAGGACCTTCCCCTAGGGCCACAGAGAAATGCCCTCCGTCTGCTGAAAACTTTCCTGGCACGGATGCATGGATCCCCTTGCCAGCCCCTCTCCTAACCCCCCCCCAGGTCCATGCAGGTTGTGATGCCCCTCCAGGATAATGGCCCTTAAAAGGGGAGATGCTGAGTCGCTTCTCTTTGCCATCCACTGGCATCACCGCTGCTTAAACTCAAAATCCATTCAATGTCTGCAAAGATTAAAACGCATTAGAAGAATCTGCCTCGCCTGCTGATGGTTGGCCGCAAAACACTGCTTTACACCCAGCCATCGATTCCTTGCGTTAAAATGGAGATTAATCAGTCCAGCCAGTTGCAGGTCCCTTTGGTGCCACCCCGAGGCTGGCCCTGCTGCCTGCCAGCTTTGGTGCCACCCAGGGTCCCTGGGTAGATGGGGGGCAGGAGAGAAGGGGCGCCCCAGGCCACCTCTGGGTTAAAAGCAGGCATCTCCCCTGAAGCTGGCAAAGGGCAGGCGGGCGATACAAGCCAGGAATTTAGGCGAGTGGCCGTTGAGAGGCAGCACCTTAATTATAGGCTCTCTGGCTTTGAAAGGATCTGTCAAGCCTGCAAGGCTTAATCAGCCTCCGCTTCCTTCCTGGGCTGGCCTGCTGAGGTGGTGGGGACGATGCCTCTCGCTTTATCATCGCTGCGAGTGATGGTGTGTGTGTGTGTGTGTGTGTGTGTGTGTGTGTGTGTGTGTGAGAGAGAGAGAGAGAGAGAGAGAGAGAGAGAGAGCTTCTGGGCAGGGGGATTAAAACCCACCCAGGGAGAGATTTGTGGGAAAGACTGGATAGTGGATAAAAATACCAAATCCAGCCTGAACCAAACCCAGCAGTCTGCGTGATGATGAGTGATAATGCCAGGGGTCTCGGCTGAGAGGTTAAACCCACCCTGGAGCCTGATTGTTTTGTTTACTGGTGGAAGAAGAACGGTTTTTTTCAGCCCCGTACGTGTTTTGACATGGTTTGTATATTGATTTGACCAACCATGTTTGCTTGTTTGTTAAATTTTATTTGGCACCCATCTTGCCGTGGGACTACTCTGGGCGGCAGGGCTGACTGGGGAATTCTGGGAGTTGAAATCCACAAGTCATTAAGTTGAAACAAGGCTTTGGTCAACGGCACCAGTTGGGGAATTCTGGGAATTTTAGCCATCTTAAAAGTGGTCAGGTTTGGCCTTACGAGATGCTCCGAAACACGGGAAACGCCCCTCTTTGTTATGCTGGTTGGGGGGACTCTCTGGAGCAAGTGCTTGGTTGTGTCTTACTGTTTTAGCCTTTGTTTGGGGTTCATTTCCTTCCTTCCTTCCTCTCTTTTGGCTGCTTGCAGCTTTCTAAGCCTGGGAGAGAGCCCCAGTTTCCCTCCTTCAGAGCCTCTGGGCTGCCACCCGTTCACGGCCGGCTGAAACGCCTGATGTTTTTCCCCTAAAGCTGCTGGCAGATTTGGCAGCTGTTTAACTTCTGGTTGAGCAAGACACCAGGCGCCCCATGAATGGGGGTGTGGGGTGTGGCTGCTCTAAAGCGGGGAGAACCAGGCACCCCAGATTTTGGAAGAGAAGAAACAGGTGCCCAAGGCTTGTTTGGGTTACAATGAACCTGCGTGGGGAGGGGGTTTGATTCCCCCCCCCATTTGCCCCCCTGCTCCAAGGCCGCCTTCTTTTCTCCTGCAGGGGACCCCAGTCGCGAGGTCGGCACCTTCAGCCAGGAGGGGGTCCTCAACTACGACACTTTCCTCTTGAGTGCGGACGGAGCAACCCTCTACGTGGGCGGGAGGGACGCCATCCTGGCCCTGGATATCAGAGGCACCCCCATCAGGCTGAAGGGGAAGGTGAGTGGAAGAGGGGGGACTCGGGGAGGGGGAAACCAGGAGGCTCGGGGGGGGCATGCAAGCTGGGGGGAGACTCCATGTTCTGCCCAGAGTCCATTTCCTCTTCGGAGGAGGGGAGAGAGGAGAGCAGATCCTGGCCTAGTGGAGACCAGACCTTCTAGTCCCACTTTAGCCATGGAAGCTGGCTGGGTGACCTTGGGCCAGTCCCTCCCTCTCTCAGCCCGGCCCACCTCACAGGGTGGTTGTTCTGGAGAAGGAGGGAAGATTGTATTAGATATTTTTATTTATAAAAATAATAAAGGCGGGCTCCAAATAAGCAAATAAATATGCCTGTGTTTCTCCTTAATTCCTCCCTTCCCCTGGCCCTGGATTCAAAGACCAAACTGAGGTCTTTCGGGAGCTGCTGATCCAACATCTGGATGGAGAACGACAGTCTTCGGCAATCCTGTTTATTATTTATTTATTAGATTTATTGGCCAGCTATCTTGCCGTGGGGTAACTCTGGGCAGTGTTAAAATCCTACATCAAGTGGCAGAAGCAGTGACTGGCACTGAGCAGGCAGGAGGTCCTGGGGTCCCTGCCTCCCCCTCCATCTCCAGGAGGCTCGCTTCAGCGTTTCTGAACTGGCCCACGTCTGGTTTTCTTTCCTTCTTCTAGAAACGGAAACGTGTCTTCTGCCACTTTGGGGGTTTTTTCTTTGCTTCAGAGTGGAGCTGCTAAGGCTGGCTGACATCCTGTTTTGGAAAGTGGCAAAGACTCAGCTGCCAAGTTTGCAAATATAATTTGGTAGAGAAACGTTTGTGCCCAGTAGCTGCTTGAAAATGTGTGGATTTCAATTCCCAGAATTCCCCAGCCAGCTATGCTGACTGGGGAATTCTGGGAATTGAAGTCCAGCTATCTTAAAGTTGCAGAGGCTGAGAAACAGTGGTGCCAATGGACTTTCTTTTTTAAGAAAAACTTTTAACAGAGTAACAGAATAAAAGAATGACAGTTGGAAGGGACCTTGAAGGTCTTCTAGTCTAACCCCCTGCTTGAGCAGCAGACCCTGTACCATTCCAGACAAATGGCTGTCCAGTTTCTTCTTAAAAACCTCCAGTGATGGTGCACCCACAACTTCAGAAGGCAAGCTGCAGTTGTGGGTGTTCCAAACCTTTTGGGGGGATCAGGGAAGAGGGAGCCGTGAACACTATCCATTCTGTGTCTCTTTCCCAGCCACTTGCTCTGGGAAATCGTCCCATTTTTCCTGCAGCAGATACCTCTTTGAAGTTAAAGGAGGATCTTTGCCATCTTCTACGTCGGTTCCATTCGTAATATAATCATGGCATCCCTTCTGAAGAAAAGGGGCATGGGATGCATTTCAGAAGGGACCCTCTCTGCTTTTCCAGAAACTTAAAAGGAAAATAAGAAACCTTTTCCCTTTTTTTTTGAGCAGGGGGTGGACTGGAACAAGGGTCCCCAACCCCTGGTCCATAGACCGGCACCGGTCCACGGCATGCCAGCAACCAGGCCATGCAAATAAGCGAAGCCCCATCTGCAAGATGCAGGCAGCACACGAAACCAGGCCCCCCTCCACGGAACCGGTCCCTGGTGCCCAAAAGGTCAGGGGGCCCGCTGGGCTAGAAGACCTCCAAGAATAACTCTGTTCTTCCATTAAATGCTTTCAGTCTTGCAAGATTCTGCTTATGTGACCCGATACGAAGGCAGACCTAGTTTCCGTTACTGTGCTTCTTGTCTGGGCTAACACTCAGCCCCCCCCCCAGACTGGCGTTCAGCCCCCTCCGAGACCGAACTCTCTCCTTTATTTATTTAGCATATGGCGTATTGTACGTGGAACTTGCAATATATATTAATATTTCACCTAAATTTTAAAAAAAACACCCAATAAAATATGAATGTTAAAAAGATCTATGTTCAAATACCAATGTCTCTAGGCCAGGGGTGTCAAGCTCGCAACGTCATGTGATGTGTTGCGACGTATCGCGGCTTTTTTCCCATTGCCGGCAATGGGGGGGGCGCTGTTTCACCATGATGCATCCGGCCCGCGGTCCGGCAGTTTCACGCCCCTGCTCTAGGCCTTTTAACCATTAAAGTGCAGCATCGTTTATATCAGTGGTTCTCAACCTGTGGGTCGGGACCCCATTTGGGGTCGATCGACCATTTCACGGGGGTTGCCAAGCAAGGCTGTCCGCCATTTTTTTGTCCGCCATTTTTTTTCCCCTTTTCCGGCGGGTGCCTTACCTCCCATGGGCTGGGCCAGCTGGTGGTCGGCCTGCTCCGTCTCTGCCGCTTGCCAGCTACGCCTCGGCCGGCGCAGGGGGCGGAACCACGCATGCGCGGCGCTCCCGGGCAGGGAAAGTCCTCGACTTACGACCGGTTGGGTAGTCCTCGACTTACGACCGGTTTAGTCCTCGACTTACGACCGGTTTAGTCCTTGACGTATGACCGGTTTAGTCCTCGACTTACGACCGGTTGGGGTCGCAGCATTAAAAAGGTTGAGAACCACTGGTTTATATTAAAAAAGAAAGAAAGAAAAGCAATCGGATCCTGGACCGGCATAGTAAGCCCTGGGCTCACCACTTCCTCATAACTCAGCCGCTCGCTGAGTTAAGCTCTCTGCTTCCTTCCCTCCCTCCCTCCCTTCCCCTCACCTGCTGCTGCTTCTCCCCTCCCTGCCCAGATACCCTGGAGCCCCAGGCCGGAGAAGAAGAGGGAGTGCGTCTTCAAGAAGAGAAGCAACGAGGTGAGTGCGACTCAACTCCATCCCCTCCCGGAAGTAGCCTCGTAGGTGCCTTCCCCTGCTGGACTGAGTGGCAAACTTACAAGCCCAGGTAGTCCTCTAGTTACGACCCTGCCCATCATGGTCGTAAGTCATAATTACAGGTCGTCCTCGACATAGGACCACAATAGAGCCCAAAATTCCCATTGCCAAGCAAGACAGTCGTTTTGCCCCGTTTTACAAGCTTTCTTGGAGCAGTTCTTAAGTAACCCGGTTGTTAAGTGAACCCGGCTTCCCCCACTGACTTTGCTTGCCAGAAGGTCTCAAAGGGGGATCACGTGACCACCATGCCCGGACACTGCGACCGTCATAAATACGAGTCAGTTGCCCAGGGTTCGAATTTTGATCACGTATCCATCGGGAGGCTGCAACCGTCGCAAGTGGGAAAAGCGACCATAAGTCACTTTTTCAGTGCCGTTGTAACTTCAGATGGTCACTAAATGAATTGTTCTCAGTCGAGGACTGTCGGGTGCTTTACAACTTTTTTTGCAGCAGTCATTAAGCAAATGTGACAGTTGTAAATGTGAAATGCCATGGTTGCTAAGTGAGCTTGTATACCTGTTGCTCACTATGGCTGGAAGTGCCAGTTTTCAGCTAAACCGTTATAAAATGTGTGACGGTTGGGGCCATCAAGAATTTCAGTAAGTCCCCTTTTAGGGTAGGTCGTAATTTTGAACAGGTGCTAAGCGACCGGTTGTAAGTCAAGGACTAATTGTAGGCTGGTTTGCAAACCTCCTCCCCTTAAAAAAGCATTTAGCATAGCACAAACCAAGTTTAATGTTAGTGCCAGGTCTTCAGTTCACCTGAATGTGTGTTGTAGATCATCTTTTTGTGATCAGGAGTCCCTGGAGGTGTCTGGGCTTCACTCCCCAGAATCCTAAAACCCACATTGTCTTTCTTGAGCATTCTGGGAATTCCTGAGCATTCCGGTTCCTCTCTGGGACGCTCAGGGTCCTTTGATAAGACGAGGAGATTCTGCTTTCCGGTCTAGTCCAATATTTATGAAGCCTGAAGATGTGTGGATTTCAACTCTCAGAATTCCCCAGCCAGCCTTCTGTTGAAGTCCACACATTTTTGAGTTGCCAAGATTGAGAAAGACTGGTTTACATGAAGGTTGTGATTAATGACCTTATTAATCTAATGGATAGCCTGCACCTTTGCCTGAGGAGCACTAAATTTAGATTCTGAAAAATTCTCTTTTGTTTATGACACTTGATCCTTTCCTGCTCCTGCTCCTCCTCCCTCCTCCCCATTACTGTCTAAGATTGAGGATTTTAGATTCCAAGAAAGAGGCTTCCCTGTGTCCAGACTGTGGGCTCCCTGGGAAAGCATTAAATAAATACAGGAAAGATAAATTCAGGAAATGATCGAACTGAAAAGCTAAATGGAAGATCTGGGTTTTTTGCACATTTCCCATTCTCTGGCTCAGTTCTGCTTCTTAAATACCGTTTCTCATGTGTGTGTGTGTGTGTGTAGGGGGGTGCTGAGCAAAATTTAAACGGGAACTGACCTGCCCCCCCTCCCACTTCTCCTTCTGCAGACGGAATGCTTCAACTTCATCCGCATCCTCGTTCAGCTGAACGAGACCCATCTTTATACCTGTGGGACCTACGCCTTCAGCCCCACCTGTGCCTACATCGTGAGTCTCCGGGAAGCAGATTAATGAAACAATTAACTTGCAAAAGCGGCCCCTGCAAAGCATTTTATTATTTTTTTCCCCACAAATAAGGGCACAACAGATCCAGAGTGGAAGGCAGAGGGATTGTTTTTGTGCCAAAGGGTCTTTCCTGCAAACGGGACACCCTTGAAATGCAAAAAATGGTTTTGTTGCTTGGCCTTGCATTCCCTCCAGTATTACTAGTTACGAGCACAAATTTGTTGCATTCCTTGGCGCAGAGGGCAAACTCTGAAAGCAAGGTTGGTTTCAGGCCAGGAATGCGGACTTCTGTGGCGTAATTCTGTCCTTTTATTTATTTTTATTTATTAGATTTTTATCCTGCCTTTATTACTTTATAAATAACTCAAGGCAGCAAGCATACCTAATATTCCTTCTTCCTCCTATTTTCCCCACAACAACAACCCTGCGAGGTGGGTTGGGCTGAGAGAGGGACCGGTCCAAAGTCACCCAGCCAGCTTTCACGTCTAAAGCGGGACTAGAACTCACCGGTGCCTGGTTTCTAGGCCAGCATCTTCACCTCTACAGTCAACTGGCACGCCGGGGGGCTTTGTTCCAGGGCCAAGGTGCGGGTTTCAGCCCTTGGGTTGCTCTTAGGGCAGTTCGTCCTCTTAAGAACGCCAAGTCCAAGAGGCTGATCATTGGATTAGGACAGGGGTAGGCCACCTCGGCTCTTTTATGACTGGTGGACTTCAACTCCCAGAATTCCTGAGCCAGCCTGGCTCAGCTTGGAAACCTCCCCCTTTCCCCTCAGCGTGGCTGGCTCAGGAATTCTGGGAGTTGAAGTCCACCAGTCATAAAAGAGCCAAGGTTGCCTATCCCTGCATTAGGAGATCCGAGTTTCAAGACGTTGCCAGTGTGTGATTGTGAGGGCCTCCCCTTCCCCACCCCCTGCTTTTAGGCCGTTTTGCAGGTTAATTGTGAAAAAAAAACCACAACTGAAATACAGAGGGTCCTCGACTTATGACCACAACGGAGCCCAAAATTTCCATTGCTAAGCAAGACAGTCCTTAACTGAATTTTGCACCACGCTCTGAGCTTTTCTGCCACAGTTGTTCAATGAATCACTGCGGCTGTCAAGTGAACGGTGCCCTCATGAAGCGAATCTGGCTTCCTTGTGGACTTCGCTGGTCAGAGGGGATTACGTGGCCCTGGGGACCCTGCGACCGTCATAAATAGGGGTCTGGATTTTGATCACGTGACTGTCACTAAGTGTGAAAACTAGTCAGAAGTCACTTTCTTCAGTGCTGTTATAACTTCGGATGGCCGCGATAAGGGTTAAGGCCAGGACTCTCTGTGGCGTGGGTGAGTCGGGGGGGGTCTGTGGAAGGCAGGCTGAGTCTCCCCTCCCTGTTCCCTTCACTGCCTCGTCTTCTCTCGCCTTGCCAGGACGTGGAGAACTTCACCCTGGTGGCCGATGCCAGGGGGCAGCCCCTCCTGCAGGAAGGCAAAGGGCTCTGCCCCTTCGACCCGCGGCACCAGAACACGGCGCTCATTGTGGGTGAGCAGAGCTGGGGGTCTGGCGGGAGCCGGGGGGGGACGGGGGGGGAGAGCCGCTTCTCACACCTCCGCCTAGGAAGAAGACCAGACGGAAGCAGGGAAGCGTTTAGGCCGCAGCGATCCCTGACCCCTTGCCCTGCTTTGCTCCTTGGCTCCTCAGACCCCAAGGCTGCAGTGTAGGGGATTCTGGGGGGTGTAGTCCAGCCAGTGGGATGGGCAGGCTGTCCTGGCTTTGTGGCCTCCGCAGGGGTGACTGTGCCGTATAGAGCAGAGGCCTGGTCTTCGCCTGGCCGGTTCGGGCGCTGAGCCTTTCCTGGGGGGGGGGGTTCTGGGCCCAGCAGGTCCTTATTACAAGCCACAGCAGGCAGAGGTGTTTTTTTTTTTTTTTCTTTCTTTCTTTCTTTCTTTCTTTCTTTCTCTTTCTTTCTTTCTTTCTTTCTTTCTTTCTTTCTTTCTTTCTTTCTTTCTTTCTTTCTTTCTTTCTTTCTTTCTTTCTTTCTTTCTTTCTTTCTTTCTTTCTTTCTTTCTTTCTTTCTTTCTTTCTTTCTTTCTTGACTTTCTTTCTTAAAGGTATTGGCCACCCATCCTACCAGAGGGTAACTCTGGGTGCCTTGCAATATTAAAAGGGTAGCACTGTTCGCAGGCTTTGGAGTCCACTGTGAGCCATAAACGAGGCGGGGGTGGGGGCAGGGGGGGCTGAGGCAGAGAGGAGAAGAAGAGAAAGATGGTGATCCTGCCATCAGGTTCAGAGTCCTAAGATGGAGCTTGCTTCCTTGGTTTGGGGACCCTCCCTCTATTCGTGCCCCCACATGTTTACAGAATAATTGAACAACAGAGTTGGAAAGGACCTTGGAGGTCTTCTAGTCCAACCCTTACTCAAGTAGGAGATCTTATTGCATCCTGGATAAATGGCTGTCCAGTCTCTTCGTAAAAGCCTCTGGTGTTGAAGCATCCACAACTTCTGGAGGCAGGTTGTTCCACTGGTTGATTGTTCTCATGTTAGGAAATTCCTCCTTAGTTCCAGGTTGCTTCTCTCCTTGATTAGTTTCCATCCGTTGCTTCTTGTCCGGCCTTCAGGCGCTTTGGAGAATAAGTTGACCCCCCCCTCTTCTCTGTGGCAGCCCCTCAAATATTGGAATACTGCTATCATGACACCCCTCTTCTCCTTCTCCTCATTAGACGAGACATTCCTAGTTCCCGCAACTGTTCTTCATATGTTTTAGCCTCCAGTCCCCTAATCCCCCGTTTGAATATTTTCTTTTATCAGCTGCTACTACCGTGTTGTGTTTTTTCTTACTGTTAGTTATAATCCTTTATCAGTTTAATAGGCCTCTACTTTTCTCTCAGTAACCTAAATTATGGGTTCCATTTGCAAGTTTTGTCATTTTATTTATTCATTTATTAAATTTATATGCTCCGCCACCTCACTTTTGAGCGGCCCTGGGGAGTCTATCCTTTACAAAACAGACTTTGGTTTTTGAAAGCCGCCCTGTTCGCATTCAGATGAATGCCTTCCATGGCGTTTTGCGGTGACGAAAAGCGGGCAAAAGGGGGAGGGGCCCATCTCACGTTCTGCTTGCCCCTCACCCAGATGGAGAGCTCTACACAGGCACCATGAATAACTTCCAGGGGAATGAGCCGGTCATCTCTCGAACCCTGGGCAGCCGGACTGTTCTGAAGACTGACGGCTTTCTCTCCTGGCTGCATGGTGAGGGCAGAGGCAGGGGCCGAGGGGGGGAGGGGGGAGGGCCTGAGCTCCTCCCACGGCTGCCTCCATCCTTTGGGGACTGGCCGTTGTCTTGGCAACCAAGACCTGGTGGGTACCAGGAGAAATGCGTCTCCTAAGCAACAGATGTGTGTGTGTGTGTGTGTGTGTGTGTGTGTGTGTGTGTGTGTGTGTGTGTGTGTTTAGAGTCTCAGTCATCTAAGTTCTGGTTGTCCCAAAGGTGCTTTTTCCAAAAGGCAGCTGGACTTTCTTTTTCTTTTTTTTTTTCTTTTTTTTTCTTGAAAATGTTTTGCTTTTCATCCAAGAAACTTCTTCATTTTTGAAAGAACTGGAAAAACAAGAAAACCCAAGAAAGTCCAGTTGCCTTTTGGAAAAGCACCTTTGGGATGTTTGTGTGTGTGTGTGTGTGTTTGTGTGTCTGTGTCCGTGTGAGATGGGATGGAGGAGAAGCTGACTCCCGTGCTTTGCGCAGACGATGCTGTGTTCGTGGCCTCGTTCAACATCCCGGGACCCCCAGATGACGAAAAGGTCTATTTCTTCTTTGAAGAGACGGCAAAGGAGTTTGATTTCTTTGAGAAGCTGACCGTCTCCCGCGTTGCCCGGGTCTGCAAGGTGAGCGGCTTCCGCCATCCCGGCCGGCTCAGCCATGCCTCCCTGCGGAGGAGGCCGAGGCTTGAGATCGAGGTTTGATAGGCACCACCCGAGAAAGCAAAAGCACCCTTAGGTGAAACGTGGCAATTCTGAGAGTTGAACCTCTCCCGTCTTCAGGTGGCCAAGTTTGAGAAGCTGTAGTATAAACAGAATCGCCTCGGGGACTTACGTCTGGGCTTAATGTTGTATCTTCTGCTCAAACCGATCAAGTCTAGTTTTGGCTTAAGAGGATGGCTTAATTCCCACAGAATGCTGAGAGAGGACCCCCAGTCCCACCAGTCCCACCACACCTTGAGCCCCAAACGGCCCGTTTTATTTCTGCCACGCAGCGTGAATCCAGCCAAGGCCAGCTGGGTCGCTGGTCCCTGAGTGGGTCTTTTCTGCTCCCTCCTTCTCTGCAGAACGACATCGGAGGAGACAAGGTTCTCCAGAAGAAGTGGACCACCTTCCTCAAGGCTCAGCTCTCCTGCAGCCAGCCAGGGCTCTTCCCCCACACCGTCCTTCAGCATGTCTTCGCCCTCCCGCAGCCGAGCGGCGGCACCCTCTTTTATGGGGTCTTTGCTTCTCAGTGGTAAGAGGCGGAGCGGTTTGCACAGGGGGGGGGGACAGAGATGGCTCTCGACACCCAGCCTGGACTCTGCAGTCTCCAACCTCGGCAACTTTATGACTTTGGACTACGCTGGCTGAGGAATTCTGGGAGTCGAGGTCCACAAGTCGTAAAGTTGCTGAGGTTGGAGCATGTGCAGAGGGCTGTGGATGGCTGAGGTGCAGCCGGCCTGTCCATTCCCCACAGGCAGACCGGGAGCTCCGGGAGCTCAGCCGTCTGTGCCTTCAGCCTGGACGCCATCCAGAAGGCCTTTGATGGGAAGTACAAGGAGCTGAACAAGGACTGTTCCCGCTGGATGACCTACAGTGGCCCCGCCATGGAGCCCCGGCCTGGCAGCGTGAGTGTGCCCCCTCCCCCGCCTTTTGGCAACGCTGCTGGCAAACGCAGACTCGGCAAAGGTTTTGGAGCGTCTCTGGAGGAGAGGGATGGTGTGGCATGGGGTGACCTGCTCCAGACCTTCCAGAACCTTCCAGCAAAATTGAGGCATGGGTCTCCCTCCTGATTGTTTTTCACAAGTGGTCTTTCCTCCAGTGTTCGGTGGGGCCCTCTTCCGATAAAGCCCTGACCTTCATGAAGGACCATTTCTTGATGGATGAGAAGGTGGCCCCTATCCACAACCAGCCTCTGCTGGTGAAGGAGGATGTGAAGTACACCCGCATCACAGTGCACCAAACGCAGGAGGCCTGCGGGGCAGCCTGCACCGTCCTGTTCCTGGGTACAGGTAGGGCTCCCCCCGCCCAGAGTAGCAGAATAACAGAGTTGGAAGGGACCTTGGAGGTCTTCTAGACCAACCCCCTGTTCAAGCAGGGCACTCTTTGTAATGTCTGACAAGCAGCTGTCTAGTCTCTTCTTGAAAATTTCCAGTGATGGAGCGCCCACGATTTCTGGGGGCAAGCTTTTTCCACTGGTTAACTGTCAAGTCAGGAAGTTTTTCCTTAATTCCAGGTTGCTTCTCTCCTTTATTAATTTCCACCCATTGCTTCTTGTCTTGCCTTCTGATGCTTTGAAAAATAGCAATAACACTTAGACTTATACACCGCTTCACAGTGTTTTTACAGCCCTCTCTCAGCGGTTTATAGAGTCAGCACATTGCTGGGCCCTCATTTTACTGACCTCAGAGGGCTGGAAGGCTTGAGATGGTGAGACTCGATCTGCCAAACTGCTGGCAGCCGGCAGTCAGCAGAAGTAGCCTGCACTACTGCATTCTAACCACTGCGCCCCCACGGCTCATAGGTTGATTCCCTCTTCTGTGGGGCAGCCCCTCAGATGTTGGAAGGCTGCTGCCGTATCATACCCTGGCCCAATGCTGAAGCATGGTTTGAGTCACCCCCCTTGGGGGGCAAGAGCTTTTACAAAAAAATCAACTAAAAACTCAAAACAAGAAAAAGAATAAACAATATTATAAGGGTAGGAGAAAGAAAGCTAAATTAAGAAACAGCCATCTCTGCCATGGGTTGGGCCAGGTTGTAAAATGGGGCAAAACTCACTTAACAGCTATCTTGGTTAGCAACAGAAATTTTGGGGTCAGTTGTGGTTGTAAGTCAGGGACTACCTAAATTATTCTCCCAACTATTGTTTGGAAATCTGTTGTTGGAAAATCTGTTGGTTAACTCTTCTTTGCTTGTTTTTGGAAGTTTGTCCCCCCCCCCCCCCCGTGCGCTACCTTTTCTCTCCAAATGAGACCCAAACCCTTGGATTGGGGGGAGGCTGAGTAGGAGCCCCCCTGCCCCCTCCTCTGGCGGGCGGCCCCCAATCTCTGCTTGTCCCCTGCAGACGGGGGCTCCCTGCACAAGGCGGTGGTGGTCGGCAACAGAGCCCACATTGTTGAGGAGATGCAGCTCTTGGAGAGGCCGGAACCCGTCCAGAACCTCCTGCTTGTTCCCGAGAAGGTGGGCCTTCGGGGGGGGGCGCTCATTATCAGCTGGGGAGGGTGGTGCTTTCAATTTGGGAGGGAGGGAGCTCTGCTGGGACCCCCTTTCCTGGCCCAACTCTCCCTCCGAGGGTCTTGGTCAGAGAAGACGTGAGAAGAGCAGCTGGCTGGCGCCTAACCCTAAGCCGGCATCTGAGATAAATGGGGGCCGGTTGATAATCCTGACTGGGGTTGTGGGAACGTCCCGCAAACTCCACATCCTATTGCGTCAGAAGCCCCCTCGAAAGGTTCCCTGGACCCCTGCACGAAATGCATCATCTTGAGGGCCGGGCTGTCCAGCGGCTAAGTGACCTCGGTATCTGGCCGTGCGGTTGGTCACTCCAGTAACTGCTCCTGTGTGATTCAAGCCTGTGCATAATTTTATGTGTTTTATGTGTTTTTAAAATAATTCACTGCTCTGGCGTTTTACACTTTGATACACATTTTATATGCTGTTTTGGGGAATTGTTTATGCATTAATGTTGCATTCTGTTATATACATAGCATGTGAGATGGCACCGCCAACAGCTGTGTGTGCACAAACACACACACTTATTACACGGCCGAATTTGGGTGCTCGTCAGCTGGCCCGCAATTGCAGCTGTTTGCAGCATCCTGCAATCACGTGAACCTGATTTACAATGGTTTTTTTTTTGCTGGAAACTAGATTTAATTTCTGATTTCTGGCTAAAAAAATGCCCATTGTGGACAATGACTTCGCTTAGTGACCCTGGTGTTTGCTTCATGGCAGTGTTTGCTTAATAACTGTTGCAAAAAAGGTTATAAAATCGGGAACAGTCACGTGATGACCTGCTTCACAGTCAGCACAACCTACAACGGTAATTCCAGGCTCAGTTACGGTTCCGAGTCGTGGGCTACCTGTCTTTCCTCTGGAATGCCGCATCTGGAATGGCTGATTGAGTTGCAGGAGCCATGGGACTGCCCTGACCCAGCAGGTCCAGAGGAGGGACGGGATATTTTGATTCCTCTGCGTGACTCCATCCCCAAAGGCGCCTGAAGGTAGACTCGTGGCGACTGGAACCATCTTTGTTTATCCGAGACATTTCACTGCCCGTCCAAGCAACTTCATCAGTCAGAGTGAAATTAGTCGTTGGGCAGAGAGCCAGAGAGTCGTTGGAATGGACCAACCTTTGCCCCATCAACCTCAGGGGCCTCTCCCCAAAATGGGTTGCAACATGTGCACGAGGACGTCTAATTTCGCTCTGACTGATGAAACGTCCCAGATTAACCAAGATGGGTCCAGTTGCCGTGGATCCACCTTTAGCCACAATTCTCTGCCAGGTTTTCCTAAATGAGTCTCTGCTCTCCAGCTTCCACCTTGTTTCATTCGGGCTGCTCTTCCCTGGAGGAACCCGGGCCTTTTTCGCCTCGGCCACAGCCAGAAGAGGGGATTTCCTACTTTTTCGGCTGCCCCTCGGCCCTTGGAGATCTCGGCCGAGCAGCTGTGCCCCGATTCCTTCCCGTTGCTTCTCCTTGGAGACTCCGGCTTCCTTTGCTCGTCCCGAGCTCTCGCTTTCTCCACGCTGGCATCGCTGGTGGGGATTGTTTCTTCGGCTTCCGAGGGGAAACTGCAGGAAATCTCCCCACCAGAATTTCAGCCCCGGGAGGGCTGGGCTGGCCTGGAGGTTCCCTAGCAGCCCCCCAGCTCAGACGGAGCCATGCCAGGGGGGCAGCCCACACAGGCAGCCTCCCAGCAGTTGTTGACTTGAAACTCCCAGGCACTGAAGCAGCCTGGAAACAGAGCCGCTGACCGCCACCAACACCGAACAAAATGGCGCTTTTCTCCAGAAAAGGGACAGTTAAAAATAGCTAGTGTGTCCTATCCATTCCCTTTCATTTTGTTTTCTCATTTATTTCTTATTTCTTTATTCTTTATTTCTTCTATCCAAGAAGCCTTCGGGCCGAGGTTTGCATAATACAGGCCGTCTTCAACTTACAACAGTTCATTTAGTGGCCATTCAAAGTTACAATGGCATGAAAAAAGTGACTCTCAACCATTTTTCACACTTACGACCGTTGCGGCAAACCCATCTTCACACGATCAAATTTCAGACATTTGGCAACTGACTCACATTTACGACGGTCGCCGTGTCCCGGGGCCACGTGATCCCCTTCTGCAACCTTCTGACAAGCCAAGTCAATGGGGGAAGCCAGACTCACTTAACAACCGTGTTACTAACTTAACAACTGCAATGATTCACTTAACAACTGTGGCAAGAAAGGTCGTAAGATGGGGCAAAAGCCATGTAACAACTGTCTCAGTTAACAACAGAAATTTTGGGCTCTGTGGTCATCGTAAGTCGAGGACTACCTGTATGCAGGTTCATTAAAAGTACCTGAATTCATGAGATAAGATGGTGGCTAACTTTCTCTCTCCTTTGAATCTTGAAGCGGATAATCATAATTCAAAGAAATGAAATTAAGTTACCGATTCCCCGAAGGAAAGGAGATTCCATTTTTGCCAGAATGGATTTTCCTTTTCCTGAAAATTCCAACACCTCTTCCTCCTTCCCTAGGGCACCCTGTACGTGGGCTATTCCAAAGGGATTTTGGAAGTCCTGGTGGCCAACTGCAGTGTCTATGCCACCTGTGCCAGCTGCCTGTTGGCACGCGATCCCTACTGTGCCTGGGACGGGCACTCGTGCCGAGCGGTTTGGGAGGACACCAGCAACAGGTGAGCAACGGCAGGAGGGAAGCACCCCTATGAGAGGAGAGGAGAGAAGAGACGTGTGTGTATGTGTGTGTGCGCGCGCGCGTGCGTTCTACATCAGGGGTCTCCAACCTTGGCAAGTTTGCCACTTCGGTGGACTTCAACTCAAAGAAGTTGAAGTCCACAAGGCTGCTGGCTGGCTGAGGAATTCTGGGAGTTGAAGTCCACAGGTCATCAAGCTGCCACAGTTGGAGAGCCCTGTTCTACAAGATTCCCAAGGTTTGTGTTGATTTGGATCCACTTGATTTCCCTGTCCTTGAAACTACTGGGCAGCGGATATCATTACTGGAGAATGCCCTTTTTTCCTCTTTTTAGGATTTTGCCCTGGTGGTCTTCCTTCTGAAGCCTTCTTTACCTTATCTATTTACTTATATATCTAATTAGAAACTGCCCATCTGCCTTGCAGAGAGACTCTGACTGCTGAGCACCCAAAACACAATTAAGCAACCAATTACGCATTGACAGCCATGTGACCGCAATTTACAGTGTTTTGTCCTGGAAACTGGCGTTTGCTTCCAGTTTCAGTCAAGAGACCCATTGCAGACAATGGACTCCAGAAAAAGTAAAAAAAAAATGGGTGCAGTCATGTGGTGGCCTGCTTAATGATTGGCATGACGCATGACTGTAATTGTGGGCTCAGTTACAGTTGTAAGTTGAGGACTTCCTTCCAGAGGTTGTGGGTGCTCTATCACTGGCGATTTTCAAGGAGAAACTGGACAGCCATTTGTCTGAAATGGTTCAGGGTTTCCTGCTTGAGCGGGGGGTTGGATTAGATGACCTCCAAGGTCCCTTCCAACTCTTGTCATTCTGTATTCAATATTCCATGCTACTGTGCTTTGTGGGGATAACAGACAGGCTTTGATGGGCACCACCTGAAAGTGGCTTGGAGGGGGCCTCCGTGTCAGGATATGGGGCAAACTATAGGGCAGGCTGTCCATTGAGGCTCATGGTGGGACTGCCCAAGTGCTGCCTGCTCAGAGCTAGTGGTTGTGCAGAGGAGGCCGTGCTGTGACTCAGAAGTTCTTTCCCTCCCTCCCTTCTTTTCTTCCAGGACTGGCTGGCTGCAGGACGTTGAGCACGGGAAAGCCGAGGCCGCATGCCAGCGCCACAGTGGGAAGGGGCGAGCCATGCCAAGGTCGAGGAACGACTCTGATGGAGTCTCGCTGAAAGGTTGAGTACCGGCAGCAGCAGCAGCAGCAGCTGAGCAATGGCTTTCGCTCAGGCAGGCCCAGTCAGCCTTGTGGGTCAAGGCTGCCCCAGCGGCTGGGCCTGCCCTGGGTCCTCGTGGGAGGGGCAGGGGAGGGAGGGCTGGGCCAGGGAAGAGGGTTTGGCCCCAAGGTCAAAGGGGCCGTTAGGTTTTGGCCCTGGCTCTCTTTTACTCTCAAGACGAACTCTATGTATGTTGTCTTTGCACCTCACAGTTGGGCCGATAAGGGGTCCAGCAGCAGGGAAGGGAGTTGGAGCCCCCTCCCCCCCCTTTGGCAGAACCTGTGATTTGAGTGTCAGCCTCTTAGGGTGTGGAGACACAAAGAGTTTTTTAAAGTTGTGAGCTTTCACACCACCCACCGAAAGGGGTTCACGGAGCAAGGAACTATTTTTCTCCCCTCGGGAAGTAGAATTACACCTCCATTCATCCTTTCCTTCCTTGCAGTGTTGATCCGCCCGTTCAACTCCATGGTGCGGCTGCCCTGCCCGCAGGTCTCTGCCCTGGCCAACTACTCCTGGACTTACCCGGAGGACAGCTTCCCATCACAGGAGGGGCTGATCGTCCGGGACCACACTGGCCTGCTTGTGTTTGTGCGCAGCCATACGCTGGGCGAGTACGCCTGCTGGGCCAGCGAGAACGGCTACCGGCACCGAGTGGCCTGGTACGACGTGCGCAGTGACCTCCCCATGGACGGCGTCAGCAGCCCCAAGGGCAGCCCGGAGCACCAGGCAGTGCCCGTTGGGGAATTGCGCTCTTACTGGTTCCAGTTTGTGACGGTGACGGTCCTGCTCTCCATGACTTTGGCGGTGGCCATGGCGCTGGGCTTCTTCTCCTACCACGACAAGCTGAAGGCTAAAACGAAAGTGCAGGGTTGCAGCATTCCCGAGTCCAGCAGGACTCCGGTGCAGGAGAAGGCCCCCCTCAACAGCAGCCAGAGCCCCCCAGGAGACAGGGACTACCAGGCGCAGGAGGCCGCCGAGGGGACCAAATCCTGCTGCGTTCAGGTGGAAGGTGGGAGCCGAGACGTCGATACAGAGAACAACCGCCTGAACTGCCCCTTGATGAACGGGGAGGAGGCCCGAGTCATGGCAGCCCTGGAGGCCATTTAGCTCGGGTTTTGCCGGGAGAACTTGGCGGACTCTCGGACGAGCACAATACACCTGGCACGATTGTAGTGCAGCTCCCAAGCACCGCTAGAAGACAGCTGGTCACCTGTGAGGCCCATTTTTAAATGTTGTTCTTTCTTGGTTGTGTTTTGTATGACGCCACACCACCTGCAAAACTGATACAGGGGATCTGGAGGGGTTCCTTTCTCTCCCACCTCCTTTGTTTCTGCCTTCTACTCCCTAGCAGCAGCAGCAGCAGCAGCAGCAGCAACTCCATCTGCTTCCTTGCAGCCCAATCTGCAAATATTTGCAGATATTTGGAGGAAAAATGTGGCTGGTCTTCGGAGTGTTCTCGTTTGGAGATGCAGGGAGCCGTGCCACTCGGCCTCGGGTGGTGACCTCCACCTCCAGATGTGCTGGGCTTTGGGGAGCTTCAGGGGGAGAAGGGAGGTCTGGGTGGGTTTGGATGCTCAGGTGGGTGACAGGTGCTGCATTTGTTTTTCTGAGCAATGTGGCTCAAATTTGGCAACTTGAAGATGGGTGGAATTCTGGGAGCTGAAGTCCACCCATCTTCAATTTGCTGAGGTTGAGAAACACTGCAGTCTGGGGTAATCTTAGCCACTCCATGCATTGTGAGAACCACTAGAAGTTTATTTTGACCGCTGCAGCAACAGCAGCACATTGTTGCAATCCCTGTCTTCGCCCAGCTGTTTCATTTTTGTCCTCCTCCGTCTTGCTGTCACGTTCTGCCTTTTGTTTAGTGGTTCTCTTTTGGGGCCAAAGAAGCAGCTATGCAAGGTCCTAAGTGAGCCCACCCCATTCACCCCCCCTCCAGTTTCCCTTGCCCTAGAAGCGCCCCGTGGCCCCTTCGGCCTCTCACTCTGCATTCACACATGACCTTGGCAGCTGCCAAGATCAGAGCCTTGATGTTTCCAAGATGAAAGCTGCTTTGCCCGAAGGCGAAGTGCTTGGCAATGTTGCCGTGTTTCTCTGTTCCTCTTGGACTCTCCCTAGTATTTTTTAGAATTTTAAGAATTTGGATTTTAAATGGTTTCCTTTGCACCGGTTGTGCCATGCCAAGGTTAGGCTTTCCTCCAGCTTGGCAGTGGTGGTTTCCTGCCCCTTTTCAATCTGTGCTTTGCCCAGTGGTTTTGGCTGGTGGGCCTCAGAGGATGGGCGGCTTGGTTTTTGTTTTTTCGACAGATGCGCTTCTTGCTTATCTTGGAGAAGCAGAAGCCATTGGCTGCAAGAAAATCTCCATTTTGTACCAAGGGGGCTTTAGTGGATCTATCCAGCCTCACAAGAGGTTGCTTGCGGCCTCCCTATTCCCCCCCCCTTCTTTTCATTGTGCAGCTTCTCCAAAATACTTGCTGGGCTTGGGGGGAGGGGAGAGAGAGAGATGGCACAGCTACATTTTTTAAGGCACTACTCTGGGAGCTAGGATTAATCTGTGCCTAGATCAGTGTTTCTCAACCTTTGTGACTTTAAGATGGATGGACTTCAACTCCCAGAATTCCCCAGCTAGGTCTTAAAAGTCTTAAAGTCACAGAGGTTGAGAAACACCAGTTTCTATTTCTAATGCTTGCAGCTGCTGCCCTCTGGTGAATAAAATGACAATTGCACCCCACCAGTTCTTTGGTCCCTGCCCGGCACTGGAGAATTTTACTGCTTGGTCCCCCACCGAGGGCACACAGAATGTATTATTTCTAGTGTTTACAATCCGTGTCATTTATTGTTGGTTTCAATTCAGTGTTATTTGAGTGGAAGACTCTTGAGAACCCCTTCAAGGTTGTAGAATGGGTGGGAGGGAAGGAAGGGAGGGGCCTGGGGAAGAGCCCCTCACCCCTGAAAGCTGTTTCAGAAAATATTCTGCCAAATACCTGGGTCTGCCATTCAATGCCATGCAAGGACAATTGCAAAAAAAAATACAAAACCAGTTTGTATCTCGTCTACTTAAAGAGCTACCCTTAAAAATGTGAGGTGTGAAGAGGACCTGGGTTGCAAAAGCAAAAGACCAGGTAGATAGGCTGCCCCGGGTCCTTTATTAAACACTTGGTGCGTGCATGTCTGTGTGTGTGTGTGTGTGTGTGTGTTTCTCCTCTCTCGGTGAGCAGGAGAGTGGTGTCTTTAATTGTGGTGTTGGAGCAGCATGTCTCTTCCGAAGAACAAGAGTTGGTAATCCGTTTCAGTTAAAAGAAATTATCGGTATTTTCACTGGCCTGTTTGCCACCCATTTGCGAAGGGGAAAGAATACATGGAAAGAAAGGGACTTTTAAAAAGGGGTCAGATAGTACAAAGAAGGGAAGGGATCCAAAGAAATGGGTGAGAGCTTCTCCTTTGCCCCAACCAGCCAAGGAAGGGCAGCCTGGGAACAATTGCAAAATGAGAAGGGAGTCATCCGGTGGCAGAGAGATGCTGGGTTTCAGATTTAAAACTACCTGCTGCTAATCAAAAATGTTTAAAACTAGAAGGTGGCCGGTTCTCCTCCTGCCTCTCTTATGTTTGGGTGCAAGAAGTCGGAAGATCTCGTTGTCCCTTTGTGGGCTGGAGAAGGAAACGGATGTTGCAAGGAGCTGAAAATAGTTTGCTTGGTGCGCAAATAGGTTTCATTCCACGATGGTTTCTGGTCAAAGAGGCTGGAAGATATTTGACGTACAAACACCTCCCTGGCTCTTGTGGTCAGAGAAGGAAGGAAGAGTGGTTGCGCTGTGGCAGAGGCCCTTCATCAAAGTATCTGCAGGGTTTTTAAAAAGTGCCGATTTTCAGCTCAATTCCATAGAAAAAAAGTGCATGTTCATTCATGACTGGCCGTTTGTTGCAATGTTGTTCCTAACCTTTTCTTTTCTTTTCCTAAAAGAAAAAAAGATGTAAATCATTGTGTTTATACAAACTATTTTTATTAAAAAGTGTTATGTGGTTGTCCAATGGCTATTGTGGGCTGATGGTCTCTGAAGCGTTGCTACCTTGGGGGCTCAGCAGGCACACAATGCTCCCCGCAAAAGAGGCAGAAGGGATTCTCCCGAGGAATTGCCAGTCAAAATCCAGGATGGCCTCCCAAGGGGGTGTTTCATAGTGGATGGAGAGAAAATTCAACATTTCCAAAGAGAAATATTTCTTATTAACTAATTAAATCTATATGCTGCCCATCTCACTGTTACAGTAAATGGTTCACAGTATAATAAAAAGAATACAGAACAATTAAAAATTAAGAAAGACTAATAAGCTAGAAATTGGCCACACATTACCCTGGTGTCAGTGCTCAACAAGCCCCACCCCTGGAACTCAGTGGGCGGGACTTCTGCAATTGAGGGAGGGGTGTTTTGCAGGCTTCAGGTGCCAACATTGCCCCTGTGTGGTCCTCTTTCTTGTCCAAGCACCAGGGAAGGATGTCAGTTTCTTAGAAGGATGCCAGTTGTCCAGTCCTGCCATGAAATATTTTTCCAACTTACAACTGAGCCCAAAATTTGTTGCTAAAGGAGACGGTTAAGTGAATTTTGCCCCATTTTATGGCGTTTCTTGCCAGTTGTTAAGTGAATCGCTGTACTTGTTAAGTTACTAAGATGGTTGTTAAATGAATCTGGCTTCCCCGTTGACTTTGTTAGGAGGTCACAAAAGGGGATCCTGTGACTCTGGGACGCTACAACTGTCACGAGTCCATTGCCGACCATCATTTGAGTTTTGATCATGTGACCGTGCAGGGGGAGTGCTGCAACAGTCATAATTGTGACAAATGACCATAAGTCACTTTTTTTCACTGTCCTCATAAGTTCAAAGGGTTACTAAACATAACAGTTGTAAGTCGAGGACCTCCTGTACTTCTATCAGGCTTTTTGCTGAACTGAAAGCGGCTCCTCTTTCCCCATCAGCCCCTTGGAGTGAGCTGGGCTGAGAGAGACTGGCCCGGAGGCGCCCAGCCGGCTTCCTCGCCACTTCGGGGAGTCTTGTTTCTTGGGGCTGGGGGGTTTCGTGGGCGCCCCTTAGCCGGGCTGCCGGGGGGGGCTTCCGTGTGCGCGTGCGCGGCGGCCACGTCCCTCCAGGGCAAACAGTCGGGTAGCCCGACCCGGTTGAAATGTAGATCGTTTCCCTCCTTCCGGGCAGTCTTCCAAGCCCATGTTGCTGGCGGGGCTGATGGGACCGGTAGTCCAGCGAAGGAAGCAAGGACTCCCCCCCCCCCGCTCCCCGAGTTGGGCCGCTCGCCGCTTTTCCTCCCGCGCCTCCCACGGCTCTTCCCGCCCGCGTTTAGTGACGCCATTCGCGCGCCGGAAGTGCAGCTCGCCTTCCGCCGGCCATCTTTGTCCAGGGCAGCCGAGCAGGAAGCCGGGCGGGAGCGCGGTTGCCCCGCTCTAAAGTGGCGGCGGTGGCGAGGAGAAGGAGGAGGAGGAAGAAGAGGAGGAGGAAGAGCAGGGAGGCGGCGGCGGCGGCGGCGTCTGTCGGGGCCCCGCGGGGCGAGCTGAGCCGGAGCGCTGGCCGGCCCGGGAGGAGAGCGCGGCCTCCGGGCAGGTGGGTGGACGGGGCCCCAGGCGGACCCCCGCGAGGAGAGGCCGGGAGGGCCGGGAGGGCGGCGGGGCTGCCGCTCTGCGGAGGAGGACGGGCCGGCTGAGGGGAGGGGGAGTCCCGAGACCCTTGGCACGGAGGCCGACACGTGTCTCCGCTGTCACGTGGGGAGCCCCGCATGGCCACTCGGAGCGGCGCTTCCTCCTCCGGCTGCCGCCCGCGCGGGGTCGCGTCCCGCTCGGGCCGTGGGCACCGGGGGCCTCCGCGCTCCTGGCCTCCCTCCGCCTCGCTCGGGCCCCTTTGCTGGAGGGGGGGAGGGGGATTATGCCCCCCCCCGCGATCAGGGACGGGGGGGGGCAAAACGCTGGAAGCGGCTGCTGGCTTTCCCGCCGGCTTCCTCGGCCGCTGTTCGTCCGGTGCGGAGAGCAGGTCAGGCTGCAATCCGGCTGCGGCTCTTCTCTCCCCTCCCCCGGTCCCCGTCCTTGGCTTTTCCTCCTGCTCGGGCGGACAAAAGGCCGGCCTCGTTGGCCAACGAAGCACGTCCGGAGGGAACAAGGCGCCCTTTCAGAAGAATCCGGGTTTCTTCGGCCAACAGCAGGTTGCCTAGCGTTTATTTAGCTAGCCTCGACGGAGCTCCTGCAATCGCGGATACATACAGATTTACTTTCAATAAAGCGCCAGCAAACATATATACCGATAGTTCTCGACTTACAACCACGATGGAGCCCAACATTTCTGTTGCTGAATGAGACAATTGTTAACTGAGCCTCTCTTGCCACGGTTGTTAAGTGAATCGCTGTGCTTGTTCAGTTAGTAACCTGCTTGTTAAAACGAATCTGGCTTCCCCATTGGCTTTGCGTGTCAGAAGGTGGCAAAAGGGGATCACGTGACCCTGGGATCACAGATACACACCAGTTGCCAAGCATCTGAATTTTGATCACGTGACCACGGGGGATGCTGCAGCGGTCATAAATGTGAAAAACGGCACTTTTTTCAGTGCCATTGTAACTTTGAACGGTCACTGAATGAACTGTTGTAAGTCGATCACTACCTGTATATATACTGAGTGGGTGATGTCACCTACAAAAAACCCCAGCAGCTAATCCACAGAAAGGAATGGGAGCGTGCTAATATAATGATTTAAAATCTGATACTTTTATCAACCAATAAGTTAGGGGGGAAATAGATGGGGGAAAGATTTCTCTCCTAATGTTACAAGGATGGCTCAGGCAGTATGGTTGCTGGAGGGTGCGATGGGCGGCCTATTAATTTAATTTAATGATAATAAATGTGGAAGAGTAAAGGGCCAAAAAGAGCCTTGAAGCAGTGTATGTATACTATTTGTCTGTTTATTTGTGGGTTAATAAACTCCCCAACTGTGGCAAGAGTCCAACTGTGGCAACTTTAAGACTTGTGGATTTCAACCCCCAGAATTCTCCAGCCACCAGGGCTGGGTGGGGAATTCTGAGCGTTGAAGTCCACAGTCTTAAAAGTTTCCACAGTTGGACACCCTGGGCTAGGCATTATACGAAAGCAACCAGTGCAATAATAACAATAATATACAGAGAAATACAAGGTATAGTTTTCAATAAGAAAGTGTAAATAAATAATGTAGCATTCAGGTCCCAAAGAGGAAAGCCCAACTTACAGCCACAAGATGCGTGGAAACTCCCGTTGCCAGGAGAAACGAGCCGTTCCAGTGGGGAGGACAGCCCCCGTCTGAATGCCCACTTTGGGCCATTTCTCTTCACCCACCCCTCCTTGTTTATTTATTATTTATTCAATTTCTATAACCACCCATTTCAGTCAGTGACTCTGGGTTGTCCTCTTAGTATGGTCAGGAACCCTTTCAACTCATCAGGCCTTATGCTCCTTGTGGAGGCTGGTGGTGCCAGTCACCCCCATCGCCATGAGGAAGTGATCATCCCCAGTGAGGGACTGATAGAAACGCCCCGCAACACGTCGTCTTTTATCTGACCCAGGGTACAAGCCGGGGGATCGGTTCCATGAAGATTGCCCCCCTTTTTAGAGGCTTGTCCCTTTAGGCCTTACAAATGCCCCCTGCAGAACGGTTGGCGTCCAACTGAAAAGCCACTTCCTTGCATGATTGTCTGTCTGTCTGTTTGTCCTCTCTCTCTCTCTCCCCCCCCCCCCATGTCTCTCCATCTCTCTCTCCCGCCCTCTGCCTCTCTCTCCAATCTAATTTATCAATCTGATCTTTCTAATCTATCTAATCCATCCTAAATCTAATCTATGTGATAGGACAGCCTGGGGTACTTCCTTGCATGGCATTTGTTTTTGTTTTTTTAATTTATTTCCTGTATATTCAGGGCTCGGCCTTTTTCGCCGAGCCCTGAAGGCCCATCTATTCCGTGCGGCCGGCCTGGCGTAGTTTGATTATGTTTCAGTGGGGGTTTTTTTACAGGTGTGTTTTTAGAACAGGCCTGTTATTTAATTCGATTTTAAAACAAACTATTTATTTATTATTTAGTATCGCCTGTTCACCGCCCTGAGTCCCGCAAGGGAGATAGGGCGGTATATAAATTTAATAAATAAATAATAAATAAATAAATTATTTTTATAAATAACTCAGGGCAGCAAATGTGTGCAACATACCTTCCTCCTCCTATTTTCCCCACAACAGCAACCCTGTGAGGTGGGTTGGGCTGAGAAGGAGAGACTGGCTCAAAGCCTCCCAGCTGGATTTCATGGTTAAGCGGGATTAGAATTCACCACCTCCCGCTTTCTCCTCCTCCTTTGGGGAGGGCTTCGGTTTGGTGGGTATCTTTGGCCTTCTTGACTCAGCCTCTAGATTCGAATTTTTCTCCTGAACACGCTTTATTTTCCTTAGAAGAATGTTGTCGCAGAGCAGAGTATTTCGTGCATGCAAAATTGGCGCATCTCTTGGCAGATTAATTATCAGGCCTTAGGTTGACTCCAGTATGCTTGGGAGGGGTGTGTGTGTGTGTGTGCGCGCGCTTGTGTGAGATCAGGGACCAGGGGAACCTTGCAGATGAAGAGTTTCACCTCAGTCGCAACATTTCTCACGAAAGAAGGCTGAGAAGGTTCACGGAGAACTGGCTACCAGTCCAAGCCCCTGGAAAGCTTGTGTGGCGCTCGCTCTTTTGTGATTTAAGACACAAAAGGAAAAGAAACGGCAGAGCGTCTCACATGCCCTTCTGGTTGTTCTTAAGCCTTGGACTTTGTGGGAAGGGATGACCTTGATGTGTTCGGTTGAGCAGGTGTTCAGAAATACCCAGACATCTACACAGCAAGATTTTTTTTCACAGATATTTCACTTAAAAGCCAAAATTACTCACCCTCTAGAATTTAAACATTACAGGTTACGCATGTGTGTTCATGACATCGTTCCCTGTTAGGGTAGGCAGTGTTGTGCAGAGCGTGTAAAGAGTTAGCAGCAGCACAGGAAGTCTTCGACAGAATTGCTGTCACTAGATAGTTGTGAAGTGAGTTTTCCCCCATTTTGCAACCTTCCTTGCCCCAGCTGTTAAGTGAATCCCTGCAGTTAAGTTAGTCACACGGTTGTTAAGTGAATCCGGCTCCCCCATTGACTTCGCTTGTCAGAAAGTCGCAAGAGGGGATCACGTGACACACCGGGACGCTGCGACCGTCGTAAATATGAGTCAGTTGCTGAGTGTCTGAATTTGGATCACGTGACCCTGGGGAGGCTGCAACGGTCGTGAGTGAAAAAGTCATAAAGTCATAAGTCACTTTTTAGTGCCATTGTAACTTCAAACGGTCATTAAACGAACTGTTGTAAGCCGAGGACTACCTGTATTGTAGTTAGTAATGATATAGCCAGGAAGGGTTAGAAGCAGGCTGAGACTTTGAGGACCATCTTCTCTTTTCCTGTTCACACTTGAAATACAATCTTAACCCTTATTCTGCAGGAAGGTGACGTCTTGAAGAGCAGAATCTGCCAAGTCGACAAGGAATCAGAAGCCAGCATGAGGAAGATCACCTGGATCCACAGCAAATCCACCGATCTTCTCCCGCGGCGGGTTCACTGAAGGTACTGCTGAGCCTCAGTTTTAGGGAGGGTTGAATCGGAGGTTGTTGGCTTCAGGAGTTCACTTGCCCCTGTAGGTGCTGCCCAGAGCACCCTAGGGCTGGCTTTCTCCACCTTGGCAACCTTCAGCTATGTGGACTTCAGCTCCCAGAATTCCCCAACCAGCAAGCTCGTTTGTGGTCACTTGATTTCCCACTTAGCAACCACTTTGCTTAGCAGCAGAGTTGCCGATCCCAATTACGGTTGTTAAGCGAGGACTACCTATACTTGAAATTACCGGTCTCGTCCGTCCATCTGAGAGAGGAGAGTATTTGTAGCTCAGGGCTGAGAGTCCCTGGGGCTCTTTGAGCTTGACTGCTTTGCGCTGGGGGATGCCGCCCAGTTTGGGGAATGAACCGTCTGCAGGAAAACAGCCAAGCTCAGAGAGCACCAAGGACCCTCCCTCCTCCGAGAGCCTGGGAGTCCGTGAACTCTCTGGACCGTGGCCTTTCAGCCACTGGGGTCTCTGCTTGAGCAGTCTATGGGGCCAGGTGTCAGGCCCCAAGAAGGACACGTGAGCAGTGACTCATGGGCAGTTTCCTTTATTGTCCCTCACCTGTAGACAGAATCTTGCAAAAGTAAAGCAAGTATTTGCATCGCTCTAGATCAAGGGTCTGGGGAATTCTGGGAGTTGAAGTCCACAAGTATTAAAGTTGCCAGGTTTGGAGACTCCTGCTCCAAATATACCCTGGGAATCACTAGGGAGGAACCCTCTTAACCCTCTTCCTGCCCCCCGGGCATTCTCAGCTGCCTCTTCACCCTCTGGGGTGCAGGCCCCCCCCCTCTGGGAATCCAGGCTACATCCCAGCACACCGGGCCTGCCGTGGACAGCTCAGTCTCCATCTGGGAGATGCCAGGTAAGTTGAGAGGCTCGTGACCCGCTTGCTCCTTTGCAGGAGGCCGCCAGCCATGGAGGACAAGCGCAACATCCAGATCATCGAGTGGGAACACCTGGACAAGAAGAAGTTCTACGTCTTCGGGGTGTGCATGACGATGATGATCCGCATCAGCGTCTACCCTTTCACCCTGATACGGACACGGCTGCAGGTCCAGAGGGGGAAGAGCCTCTACAATGGGACCTTTGATGCCTTTGTCAAAATCCTGCGGGCCGAAGGGGCGGCCGGGCTCTATCGGGGCTTCCTGGTCAACACCTTCACCCTCATCTCCGGTCAGTGCTACGTGACCACCTACGAGCTCACCCGCAAGTATGTCTCGCAGTACAGCAGCAGCAACACCATCAAGTCGCTGGTGGCCGGCGGTTCGGCCTCCCTGGTGGCCCAGAGCATCACGGTGCCCATCGACGTGATCTCCCAGCACCTGATGATGCAGCGCATGGGCGACACCATGGGCCGTTTCCGCGTGCAGGCCCACGAGGGCAAGCGGTTCCCCGTCTTCGGCCAAACCCGGGACATCATCGCCCAGATCTTCAAGGCCGACGGGCTGAGGGGCTTCTACAGGGGCTACGTGGCCTCCCTCCTTACCTACATTCCCAACAGTGCTGTCTGGTGGCCCTTCTACCACTTTTACGCAGGTAGGAGAGAGCAGGGCTGGGTGGTTTTCCTGCGGAGGTTCCGTTACCCAAAGTAGGTGACATCGGCAGGGCTAGAAGGGGGTGGGGTTTGTAGAGAGGGGAGGGGGAGGGCGGGGTCTGTGGGCTGCTCTCTGAGCTTGGTTGTTTTATTGTGGACGTTTCATGACCCAGCTAGGGAACCTCATCAGTGTGGAGGAGGAAGAGCACTGTGGGGGTCCTCTCTGAGTTTGGTTGTTTTCTTGCAGACGTTTTGTGACCCGGACTAGATAACTCTAGATCAGTGCTAGAAGGAAGTGGGGTTTGCAGGGAGGAGGAAGAGGTGGGGGGGGAGGCCCACGTTCACCTCCTGCCTTCGGCCAGCTGAGATCCGTTACTGTCAGGCGCCAGGAAGTCAGGAGATCCGGGCAGTTCAAAGGAACATAAAGGTTGACCGGAAGCTCACGCTCTCTACCAGAATCTGCCCAACTAACGGTCAACGCAAACTGGCTGATGGCCCGCTTGGCCCTTCCCTCCCCCCTTCGGACCCCCACCCTGGTCATCTCCTGCTGCAGCCCTAAGGAGCAAAGTGCCGGTGTTATAGGCAGAAACACCTCTGCGCAGTCGCATTAAGTCCCACCCTATCTGGGAGGGAGGTCCACATTGGGGGGAAAACCCTCCTGGATTTTCCCAGGAGCCCAGAGCCTTTAGCACTGGATCCCCAGCAGCTCCCTAGGTGGATACCTCCAGCCCCCAAGTGTGGGTCCCCAGCAGCTTTTCGGCACCTGATCTGGTTTCCCTGCCTGTTTGCAGAACAGCTCTCCAGCCTGACCCCCAAGGACTGCCCCCACCTGCTCCTCCAAGCCATCTCCGGCCCCATGGCGGCTGCCACCGCTTCCACCCTCACTAACCCCATGGACGTCATCCGGGCACGTGTGCAGGTAAGCACCTCTGTGGCCTGAGCGAGCCAGCAGCCCTGCAGGGGGGGGGGAGAGCTCTGGGGCCTGTCCTGCCCCACTGATTTGGGGGGAGGGGGGCAGGTGGTGCCTTTTGAGTGGTGACCTCGGCAGGCAGGCAGGCCGGCCGGCCTTGCGTGCCTCCCTTCCCCCTCGGAGCCGTTCCGGCTTTGCCTTCCTCTCCCCCACCCTCCTGTGGTCTGTGGGGAGGCCCTGGGACCTTTGGCAGGCAGAGGGGCTGCCTGTCAGTCTCAGCCCTTCCTCCAACTCGCGTCTTGTTGGACTACTTGAAGGGGATGGGTGCACTTCGACTCCCAGGACTCCGTATCCAGCATAGCCGACTGGGGAATTCTGGGAGTCGAAGTCCACCCTTCTTCAAGTGGACAAGCTTGAGAGGGACTGGTCCAGAAATACAGGTGGTCCTCAACTTATGACCACAACTGAGCCCAAAATTTCTGTTGCTAAGCGAGGCAACTGTTAAGCAAGTTTGGCCCCATTTTACCACCTTTCTTGCCGCGGTCGCTAAGTGAATCACTGTGGTTCTTAAGTTAGTAACCCGGTCATTAAGCGAATCTGGCTTCTCCAGTGACTGACTGTCAGAGAAGGTCGCAAAAGGGGATCACGTGATCCCAGGACGCTGCAACCGTCAAGAGTCAGTTGCCAAGCATCCAAATTTTGATTGCGTGACCCTGGGGAGGCTGCAACGGTCATATGCGTGAAAAACAGTCCTGAGTCCCTTTTTTCAGTCTGTTTGTAACTTTGGACGGCTGTAAGTCGAGGACCCCTTGTGTCAGGAATTCTGTCCCTCTGAACCTCAGAGGTGGGGCTTGTCCTTCCTCCCTCCAGGTGGGGGGCAAGAGATCCATCCTCCTGACCTTCAGACAGCTGATCGCCGAGGAGGGTCCCTGGGGGCTGACCAAAGGCCTTTCCGCCCGCATCATCTCGGCCACCCCCTCCACCATCGTCATCGTGGTCGGCTACGAGACGCTGAAGAAGCTCAGCCTGCGTCCGGAGCTGGTGGACTCCCGGCACTGGTAGGCGACCAGGAAGGGAGACTTCGCTTTCCGAAAGCCCTCGGACCAGATCGCCGAACCGCAGGACCATCCCCTTGACCAGGCATCACTGCACCATCCCTGCTACGGACTCTGCTCCGAGACCCCCGTCCCGACCCAGCGCCGGCCTGGCCCCGCCAGAGGATCGCCCCGTGTCCCGAAAAGAGTGGCTCAGACTTCCTCAGAGTAAACCTGGCGTGTCTCCTTAGTGCCCCCTTTTTAAAAAAAATTTTTTAAAGGGTGTCGGTCGAAGCGAAGCCGTTTTTTCTTTCCCAAGGAGATTTGGATTTTTTTTGTATTTTGCCGGAATTCCTGCATTATTGGGAGAATCACTTTTCCTGATGTCCTGCTGCTTGGAAAGGACCCATCGGGCACAGCCACACACATCATCACGTTGGAAAGCGGTAATGCGGTCTAGAAAATTCTTCGCCTTCGGATGCTTCCGAAAAGGGGTTTTTTTTTAAACCGAATATTTGGGGAGGAAGGGGGGGTGCACCAAACACCAGGAATTATTTTTATAGCCTTTCTTTCAGAACTTGATGTGATCTGTACATAGAGATTTCTTCTTATTTTGTATAAACTTGGAAGCCGTCTTTTTGATCTTCTGTCTCTGAAGAGTAGGATTTTTGTTTTTATGTTTCTAATTGTGTCAACGGTGATTGAAGGGAAGTTCCCTTCTGGTCTGTACAGTTGTGGTGCCCAACTGCATTTGTCTGTGTGTGTGTGTGCATGCGTGCGTGTGTGAGAGAGAGAGAGAGATTGATTCTGGGCAGGGGGATTAAAACCCACCCAGGGAGAGATGTGCACTTTATCCTCCTGGATTTCCCTCGTGTGAGTGTAGACAAAAAGAAGAAAAAAAATATATAACCAGGTCCCTCTCGTAACAGTCTCCTCCTTACCCTGAGCACACAGAGAAATGTGATGGTGGTTTATTGGGGGCTACATTTGAAAGGCAAGGCTGAAAAAAACCTAGGATAATGCTACTTTTGACCGTCGTGCAAGTGGGACTGTCTGAATCACCGAATGAATATTTCATTTAACGTGTAGGAGCAGGGTGGGGGGTGTGGGGGGGGGGGGTAGGGAAGGAAGGGATCCGGGTTTGTTGGGAAGGGATCTCCTTGGAAGCCAAACTCTGAGGGAAGAGCGGCTGCTGCTCCCTTGGGCTGAGCCAGCTGGGCTCCACCGGGCAGCCGTTTCCGAGGCTCAGCAGCATCGATGGACTCCGTCCTGCCCTCTTGCTGCCATTTGTACGCTGCGACTCTGGCGCTGCCTCTTCGCCCCGAATGCGGGTACAAAAGCCTTAGAAGGCAGGGAGAGGCTGCAGGGGCTGTAAGTAAACCCACTTGCTTTAAAATTAAGTATTTGGTGGTGGCGGGGTGGGTAGGAGGGATTAGAAGCAATACCAGTGAGGTGTTATTCTCTCCCCTTTGGGGAGGCTTTTCTTCAGCAAGCAGCGTTCAATGTCTAACGGTTTATGTCTGCCCTAATCATGGGCGGCAGAGGACCTCTAAACCCTTAAACGTGGGGAAGGCTGGGAGTTGGAAGTCTGCATATTTTAAAGTTGCCCAGGTTGAACGGTCCTTCTGGGTCAGGGGTCTGCAAACTCCGCAATTTAAGACTTGTGGGCTTCATCTCCCGGAATTCCTCAGCCAGCTGCCCTCCACAAAGTGTATGTTGCGGAGCACACGGTCAGCACACCAAAGCTACCTGCTGGCCACTCCACCAGACCCCCTCCCCAAATTCAAGCAAGTCTCTTGGGCTCTCTTTCACCCAAAGCAGTGTTTCTCAACCTCAGAAACTTTAAGAGGGGTGGGCTTCCAACCCCCAGCCGGCTGAGGAATTCTGGTAGTCAAGGTCCAACCATTTCAAAGTTGCTGAGGTTGAGAGACACTGGAAAAGGATGATGGGAGGTGAGTCCTAGAGAGAGAGAGGTGGTTGGCCATTTCAGTAGGGCTAGGAATTTGGGGATGGGTGGGGAAAATGTTCCCCAAAGTACACATCTCACGGGCCCCAAATCAGCCCTCCGTGGAAGCAAAGCTGGACCTGCCCGGCTTAGTTTCTTTTGGATGTCCTAAGATTTCTCAACGTTAGTTGATTTTCAACAGGAGAGCATTTCTCCAGATGTGCCACATCTGGGCTTGAATGCACACTTCAAGCGGTGAAGGGTCTGGGGTTGCTGGTGGGTGTGGTTGACGGGGTCCGGGGTGGCCAAAGGAGACTTCTTCCCTCTCCACAGAAGACCTCACAACTCTACCACAATGCAGTTGTGCCATAGCCAAGAAAAATAAGGTAAATTTGGTTGAATGTAAAGTGAATTCGCCCCCCGCCCCCCCCCCGAAAACTCCTTTGAGCTGCTGAAAAAGAATCTGTAAATCTGTTATGAGCTGGGTTGTTTTTTTCCCCCCCCGACTTGCTAAAATACCAAGATTGTGAGCTTAAGCAGCAGGGACTGCCCCTGGTGTTGACGGACGGCTTGTGTGAGAACCGGAGCGGGGCCTGGAGGGGTTAGGGTTAGCTGCCCCCCTGCAGCCCAATGGTGATCAAAATGCTTGGCACACCTGAGCAAGAGGAAGGGCAGAAGCCCCTCGGTGCCGCCCCCCGGCCAAACTCCCCTGTGACGGAGGAGCTTTTCCTGTTAGCACTATTCCAAGCACCACTTTTAATCACTACTGAACTGAGATTTCATTCCATTCTTTAGCCAGACCAGTTAATTCTCAGGCGGGGCAAGTTTCAGCTGGGTGGACTTCAACTTCCAGAGAGAGACTGGAGAGAGGGTATGGGAGCCGAAACTTTCCATGCCTGAGAAACACCGTTTTGGACATCTTCCTTTTATCTAATGGTACACTGATTTAATAGGTTTCTCATTCAAATTATCGAGAATCTGTAGGGAGCACTGCTGAAGTATTCTCTGGAAGCTGAAGCTATTATCTAAATCAGGAGTCTCCAAACTTGCCAACTTTGAAGACTTCAACTCTCCGGCTGGGGAATTCTGGGAGTTGAAGTCCACAAGTCTTAAAAGTTGCCAAGTTTGGAGAATCCCTGACCTAAACCATGCCACGTAGACTTTTTATGGGAATGGGAGGGGGCAGGTGGGGGGAATAAGGCTGAGAGGAAATCACCCAGAGCAACCTAAAATAAGGATTCTCTTATTGTCCAGCTGAGTTAATTCCGAGGGTCTCTAATATGGTGCCTGCCTTTTCAATATGGAGTTTGAATGTATTTGTGTACAGTACATTAAAGCTGGTTTCAATTTTGCACTGTAAGAAGTCTTTAAAAGTGTAATTAAAGTTTTTATTATTTATTTGATCTTTTTTTGTGGAGGGCTTTCGTTTGTGCGGTTAAGGTGAAGAGAACTGGCAGGTATTGTCCTAAGATGTTCCCAGGAGTCCCCCAGGGACCACCCGAGAAGGTGAGCTTCAAAGACACCATTCACAAAGCGGTATGAGGAGTGAGGGGAACCAGCATTCAGGAGAGTGAATGAACGTGGATTTTAAGAAAAGAAAAAGCGTTATTTTACTATTTGTGACATACCTGGAAAAGAAACCAGAGCAGGTGATTCCAAAACTACAGACACAAGTAATTTAAAAGTAGATTTTGTTGCACATACAGCCTTCATCCTTTTGTCTAACGGAGGAAATCCTTTTGGTGATCAAAAAGGGAAATGTGTGGGGGGTTTTAATGGGATTTTATTATCTGGTGGATTTTTAATATTCTGTAAGCTGCTTGGAGTCACCTATGTGAGTTGGGCAGCTATATAAATTTGTTTAATAAATAAAATGCTCAGGCGTTACACGAGGATGAGTCTCAGCCCTCGTATGCGTGAAGAGAATTTACAGTTCAACACATTTTGTGGTGCACACCCTGCTTCTCGCTCACAATCACTGTTTACAATGATCCATCTTGTACATTCTGTAGTGGCCATGGACTTCCACTATTTTGATATTTAGCAATTTTCCCTCCCGCTGACGGAATTCACGTTGATTCCAATGTTTTAATCCTAAGCAATACAGATGCACTAGTTCAAATTATTGGCCTTTAAATCCATTCATTTTGAGCCATTTTCTTGCAACTGTTGTTTTGGACCCGATAGTGTAGAAGGAGAAGCCCCTTTGAAATGACTGATAAGCTCTCGGCAGCCAGCCCAGATCCACCCTGGCTGCCTCCATGTCTTGCATTACCGTATCCATCATCCCCAAACATAAATGGTGGTTGTGCTGCTGGGAGTTATTATTGTTGTTACTTTTTTCTGTGAGCACACTGGCACACATTAAACGTGAAATTCCGTTGCCTGCTCTCAGAAGAAAGTATCTATCTACCCAATACACATACAAATATATGCCTATGGACCTTCTGCATGTCCTCCCAGAAGGTAACAAGGAGAAACGGTCGTGGAGAGGATGTGTAGTGTCCCAGACGATCTTACGGACCCTGCTCAAGCAACGCTTACGTGCCATGTCCTGGATGGAAGGGAATGAACTGCCCATAATCTTTGGTGCCATCCTCACCACTCTCTGCACCGCCTTCCTGTCTGAAGCAGGGATGCTTCCAAACCAGACTGTGATGCTGTATGATGCAGAAAATGCAGGGGCTGCTGTGCCCGCTTCACCAGGGTCTCACTCTTGAGCGACCAAGCTCGTTATCCAGAACATCTGGAGAACAAGCACCAGCACAACCACCACGTCCACACATGTAGCAGTTCTGAGCATGTTCTTACAGCTGCTAAGGAAATCTTGATTTTGCAAAGCATGTTTTAGGGTAATCTCCATTCCAGATCAGAGATTCTCCAAATAGTACCAGGACTCTCAATACAAGTTGAACTGAATACTTTCTTTGGCCAAGTGGAATTAGACACACAAGGAATTTGCCTGTGGTACAGAAGCACTCGATATACATGCAAAGCAAGAATAATAATACCTATAAAAGGGAAAAGTAAAGAAAATAATACAACGATAAATAATAATACTACAGCCTCTCGTTTATGCAACCCTCTTGTTAATAAAAGGAAATGAGATCCTGCGTACAGCAGGGCACTACGTTAACTACCAGCTGGTGAATATATAGGCACTGGCATGTTGGCTTGCCAGGTATCCTAGTTTGCATTAGTGTTTCGCAATCTTGGACGCTTGGAGAAGGGTGAACTTCAACCCCCACAATTCCTCAGCGGCCAAGGGCGGCGCGCTTCCTGCTTTTCGTGCGGCACGGGGCTTCCCAAACCACGTGATTGCTGCACGCGGGCGAGGCGGGCGGCCGACACCAATCAGGGGCCTCGGGGCCGCGACTAGGCGGGGCCTCGCCTGGTTTGGATCCACTGCCTTTGGCGGGAAGAAGATGGCGGCGGTGGCGCCGAAGGAGGAGGGGGAGGGGGGGGAGAAGGAGAAAGAAAGCCGCGCTCCGGCCGTGGCCCCTCAGGGTGAAGTCGGCCGCGAGCAGACCCTGGACTTCGTGGTCAGTCAGTTCCTGCAGGCGCTGGACGTCGACGGGTAAGAGGGGCGAGTCGGGCGGGGATGATGGGCTTGGACCGGCTGTGGGCAGTTTGACCTGTGGACTGCAAAAGCTGCCTCGGGAATTCTGGGAGTTGCAGTCCACAGGTCGTCAAGTTGCCATAGTTGCCCACCCGCGCTGTAAAGGAATGACGTAACTATGAATTTGGGATTAATTCCTCCCCCCCCCTTCCAGCTTGGAGCCGTGTGGACTTCAACTCCCAGAATTCCTCAGCCGGGGCTCCCCAAAGGGGCCCCTATCAGCCCCCCAAGCGCCAGTGGGGGGATCCAAGGGGCCAGTCAGCTTTTTGGGGGGGTCAATAAATGGCGGAGGATCTTTTGGGGGCTGTTCCCGGTCCTGAGAGAGGGGGCCAGACGGGGCCGGGCAGGGCTGGGCTGGGCGGTCAGCCCGCCACAAGAGCCGCCCGGGGATGGTGGAGCTGAGTTGGTGTTACTGGAGTTTGAGCAACTCGGGGGATTATTATGAGCGTCTGAGTTGTGGTATTCTTAGGGTTGGTTGCACAGCCAGCCGGATGTTTAGAGCGAATGTGGCTGAATTTTTGCCTTGCTGAGTTCCTCCCAAGGACCACCTGGGAGGGGCAGGACCCCAGATCCTTAAGTTTAAGCCAGTGGTTCTCAACCTTTTTAATGCCGCGACCCCAACCGGTCGTAAGTCGAGGACTAAACCGGTCGTAAGTCGAGGACTAAACCGGTCATAAGTCGAGGACTAAACCGGTCGTAAGTTGAGGACTAAACCGGTCGTAAGTCGAGGACTAAACCGGTCGTAAGTCGAGGACTACCCAACCGGTCGTTAGTCGAGGACTTTCCCTGCCCGGGAGCGCCGCGCATGCGTGGTTCCGCCCCCTGCGCCGGCCGAGGCGTAGCTGGCAAGCGGCAGAGACGGAGCAGGCCGACCACCAGCTGGCCCAGCCCAAGGGAGGTAAGGCACCCGCCGGAAAAGGGGGAAAAAATGGTGGGAAAAAAAAATGGCGGACAGCCTTGCTTGGCGACCCCCGTGAAATGGTCGATCGACCCCAAATGGGGTTCCGACCCACAGGTTGAGAACCACTGGTTTAAGCCATCCGGAGACCCTGGCAGTGGAGGACAGTGGGGGGACCAACTGACCCTTTGCTACTTTCTGCTTAATTGACTTTGCCAGGGTTTTCGTCACAGGTAACCCAGTCTTGTATCGTGGCAGGTTTGGCCACACAGTGATTGCAATCAAAGGGGTATTTTACCCCTATTTTGAGATCCCCAACATCTTCATTTAGCTATAATTCCGAGATGTTGCTCGGAAACTAGTCAGAAACTCCAAATAAGGGATTTTCTGCATTCTTTAGTGAAGGTTGCATTGCTGGGGTGAAAGGATTAGAAAATGAAAGACAGTCCAGTTAAAATTCAAGATTCCTCTCTAAGATTTTTTTCCCTCCTTCAATATTTCAGACTCTATTTAGGAAGTGAGAATATGGTATTAATAGGGCTTCCTGCCTGAGCAGGGGGTTGGACTAGAAGACCTCCAATAACTCTGTTATTCTGTTAATATTCTGCTAGATGTGGATGTTTGATGGGGTTAAAAGCCTTGTGCAGGATATAAGATTATTATTCTTATGGTTGGTCACACATTCAGCCAGATGTTTTAGACTGGTTTGGGCATCTCTTGAATCCTTTCCAAGGACCTGGGATAGGCAGATGTTGCTTGATGGTGTTGAAATTCTTGTTGCAGGATAGATGATGATGATTGATTGCATAGGCCTGGGAGAGGCAGATGTGACTGATGGTGGTGAAAGTCTTGTTGTAGGATATAAGATTGTTGTTGTTGTTGTTGTGTTGATTGCATAGTCAGCCAGATATTTATACCAGTTTTGCATTTTTGTCCACCTATTGAATCCTTTCCAAGGACCTAGGATAGGCAAATGTCGTTCTTTGATGGTTTGCTTGTTTATTCGTGTCAGAAGCTTCACAATTAAAATAAAGCATACTGCATGACATAAAATTTAAAATACAAGATTGAAATATGTACGGTTGAATAGATCTTCTTTGATGGTGTTAAAGGCATTGTTGCAGGATGCAAGCTGTTTCGAATAAAGCTGCCTTTTGCAATTGACAGATGGGGATTTTTGTCAGTGCTGATGCTACAAATGTGTTGGGATTGCACCCAAGGCTACTCCTACCTTTGCTTTCTTTTGCCACAGTTGTTCTATTTTTTGTATTATGTTAGCTTCTCCAGTTCTTTCTTTTCTCTTCCGCTGTCTCAAAGCACTGCCCCATCCTGTATCCAGACTGTTTTGCCTTTCTTATCAACAGTTCTTAAGTCTGGGCTGATATGCGGCAGGTGCCTGTCCATTTGAATTCTAAAGTCCCAGAGCATTTTAGCTTCTTCATTTTCTATTACTTTCTTTATTTTGTCCTATTATCCTTGTTGGCAGTACTATTAGTTAAAGTAGTGTTTATTAAATTATTTTCATGTAATAAATGTTTGGGGCTTGATGAACAATCTGGAACTTCATGAAAGGGCCAGTGAATTGAAGAATTCTGAGATCTTTGGTTCACTGCTCCGTGCATCAGATTGTTATCTGCAACTCACAGAAAGCCTATGCCTTTGACTCAGGTGTGTCATTTGGAAAAGGTGCGACCAGAGTAAATATTGATGAGCCCCAAACAAGTTTTGTTCTTCAGGTTTTCTGCATATGAGAAAGATAGAGGGGATGTTGGCCACCAAGTAGTCTTCATCCAACAAATAAGGTTTAGCTTTATAGGAATCCTTCTGAAAAGCAGCATTTTGTGTTTTATAACCTGATTGGCAGTTTCCCTTTTTTGTCCCTAGATGTCGCCTTTTCACCAAGTGCTACAGCCACCTCTACAAAGCCCATCCTGAATTCACAAAATGTGTTTATAATCAGTTCATATCCCATCTGCAAAATTCTGTACAGGTAAGTCCCAAAACATGGACAATTTCCTTTTTTCTTTTTTTCAGGGCAGCTGGCAGTTGTTAGTTAGAAGCAAAGATTCTCAATTTGCAAAAAATGATTTGGGGATTGGAGACTAAAATATACGAAGAACAGTTGCAGAAATTGGGTATGTCTAGTTTAATGAAAAGAAGGACCAGGGGTGACATGATAGCAGTCTTCCCATATTTAAGGGGCTTCTACAAAGAAGAGAGGATCAACCTATTTTCCAAAGCACCTGAAGCAAGAAGCAATTAGTGAAAGCTTATCAAAGAGAGAAGCAACCTAGAGCTAAGGAGACATTTCCTGACAGTGAGAACAATTAACCAGTGGAACGACTTGCCTCCAGAAGTTGTCGGTGCTGTAATATTGGAGGTCTCTAAGAAGAAATTGGACAGCCACTTGTCTGAAATGGAATAGGGTTTTCTGCCTGAGCAGGGGGTTGGAGTAGAAGACCTCCAAGGTTCCTTCCAACTCTGGTATTCTGTTATTTTGTTAAAAACTACTGTTATTTTGGTGATTCTACACTCTCTGTTCCCACAGCAATTGGCAATAATAACAGCATCATAAGAATGGGAAGAAGTAATCTAATTGAACCTCTGCAAAATAAGAGATTTCTTTAAAACATTTCAGACCTCCAGTGAAGAGGAACGTGTCCCTTCATGAGGCAACCTGCTCCGCTGGTTGACAGCTCTTCCTATCCAGATGTTCCTCTTAATATCTAACCTGAATCTTTGCCAACAATTTCAATCCATCAATCCCGTTGCCCTCCAGGACAACCAAGGGGAGGGCCATTCCTTCCTCTGTTACAGACAAATGTATTTTAGAAAGGGAGATTCTGGGTTCTTTGCTTTTACCAGGCTGTGTTCCCCCCCCCCCCCGATAATATTTAGTTTATTTAAGGAAAGTTAAAATACAGAACACCAGAAGAAAAGAAAAAAACACAACAAACATTAAAAAGAAAAAGTGTCTCGGGGGAAAAAAGACTAACACATATACACATAACATCCTCCCTAGCTGAATGCTGATTAATATAATACAACAATTAATTTCCTACCCCTTACTAAACAGGCCAAAATAATTTTAAACTATTCTACTAGATCTGTTTACAAATTGTTAGCCTATTATCTATATGCCATGTTAGTAACAAAAGAGTTAACAGGAAAAACAGTAATAATAAGTATTATGTAAAAGTGTAAAACTAATACAATTATTAATAATGATGAAAGACCGGATTGAAATTCCAAAGCCCTCTGTGAACTGCTATTATGATAATCAAGCAGGTAAGGTAAAGGAGTCCCTGCAGATGTTACTCCGCTAATCATTGCCGACTCTAGGGGGCAGCACTCATCTCCTGTTCAAGGCCATTGAGCCAGCACTGTCTGAAGACATTTCCCTGGTCACGGTGGCCAGCATGAGGTCACGGAGCGCTGTTATCTACCCACTGTAGTGGTACCTGTTTACCTACTTGCATTTGCATGCATTCAAACTGCTAGGTTGGCAGGAACTGGGGGGAGGATGGGTGCTCACCCAATCGGGTGGCGCTTGGGTCTCAAACCTGGGCTGCCGGCTTTCCAGTCAACAAGCCCAGCATCTCCCAAGCTGCTCCACCCCCTTAATAATCCAGACCCTGGTTTTAATCTTCTGGTCTTTCAGAAATATCATTGGGCTTATACCACGGGTAGGCAACCTTGGCTCTTTTATGACTCATGGACTTCAACTCCCAGAATTCCTGAGCCAGCCGTGCTGAGGGGAAAGGGAAAGGTTTCCAAGCTGAGCCATGCTGGCTCAGGAATTCTGGGAGTTGAAGTCCATGAGTCATAAAAGAACCAAGGTTGCCTACCCCTGGCTTATACTGTATTTTAGAAAATGTTTTATTAAAATGTTTGGGGTTTTTTTTACAAACGGGCTAGTTTGGAAAGCTCTTTTAATTACCCATTTAAATCATGGTATTCTTATGTACAGAGCTTACCAGGACTAATTTAGGGTTTCCAACAGCACCAAGATGTATTGTGTGAGAGGTTTAATTTGATGAATACTTCAACCTAGAATAATTCTACTCTTAAAATTGATGGTAAAACTTTTTTTCTGGAAAGGGTGCAAAAGGATGTAATTATACTAGCTCCATTGTTGCTTAATTATAACTTTAAAACTTCTCAGCAAGTACAGCCTTCTTTAAACCATCAATTCAGTTAAAATATGTTTTGACAATTTAATATGGAGCTAGCGCTTTGTTGTTGTTGTTAGTTGCGAAGTCGTGTCCGACCCAGCACCTTCTAAAATAACTGATTATTAATGCACAAGATTTCAATTTTAGAATATCTACTTGCACATTTTGTGAAAAGTTAAAGAAATTTCAAAACATCAAAAAGAAATATACAATAATTTTGGAATCAAGAACTGGAAATTCCAGTCCTTCCAAACCAATAGACTCAAGTCTTGAAGATTATTAAGCTTAGATCCTGTGGTTTAAAGTTGAAATTAATCTTCCAAAAGATTGTTTTTCATATTTATAGGACACCATCTAGAGAATTTTTGCAAAGGATGGATTGATAACTATTTGTGTTGGCATTGCAAAAAAATTATTGGACAGTTTGGGGAATATTGAAAGCTTATTTTTCTGAGCTGGAAGCCCTCAGCTTTTCCTGCTTTGCTGTGCCTGCTCTTTGCTGTGCCTGCTCTTTAGGAAATGCTATTAAAAGGAGGGCTTGCCATCCCTCTTTGAGAAATGGCAAGCCCTCCTTTTAATAGCATTTCCTAAATGGCTCAGAACTGAGTTACTCAAAAAGCATTTGAGGTTTTGATCCCTTTTATTCATACATATTTATTGGTTTTATTGTGGTGTTTTTATATTTTGTTCTATCAATGTTTTTTTTCTAGTTACTAATATTTTCCTGTGTGCATTTTTGTGTTCTGGATGGCCTTAGGAGCCCCAGGAGTCGTTTGATTGCAGTGGGTAACCCAATAAATGTTTTCATTTGAAGCAGGGTGTTTCCCCTGGGAAGACGGTCTGTGTGCTTGCAATTCCCGCCCAGTGTGGCTTCCTTCACGGGGCCCATTTCACTCATTTGATCCATGCCTCACAAAGTATTTACACCACTCCCGTTGGCTGCATTATGTAACTATACTCTGCATTTTTAAATTTTTATTATTTTTAAAAATAGCTCCTTCCTCCTGTTTTTCCACGCAACGGCAACCCTATGAGATGAGTAGTGCTGAAGGAGAGGGAAGGCCCAGAGTCACCCAGCCAGCTTTCATGCCTAAGGCGGAACTAGAACTCCTGGTCTCCCACTTTCTACCCGGGGTGCCTTGACCACCAGGCCAGATTGGCTCCCGAGCCCGTTCTCTGGCTATTGATGTTCTGCGAGCCGACCCAGGCAGCTGTTCTGCCTCGCGCCACTCGATCGCCTCTGTTTCTGCAGGAAGAGGTTCAGGCCCTCAAGGAGGAAGGGAACCTGCCGTTGCTGCTCGACTCCCTGGATAAGCTTGAGAGAGCAGCGGAGGGCAAGGAAGGCCCTGCATGGTGAGGCATCCTCGGGATTCAGCGATTCAGCAGCCCAGCGACTGCGGGGCCTGTGGTCTGTCTTCACAGTGCCAAGGAAACTCTGTTTCTGAGCTTTGGAGCAGTGGGCGCTGTGCCTCTGAGGCCAGCAACGTTGTGCGTTAACTGCAGAGGTGTGGCCCCGCTGCAAAATGCTGGGTGGGAGCTTTTCTGGGGGCCTCTCCTCCCGGGAGAGTGGATGGTGAAGGCTAGCCTGCCTCCGGGCCGCTCCTGACCCGCTCCTTGTCTCTGCATCCAGGCGCCCGAGTGGTCTCCCCGAGGAAGATGCTCGCAGGGTGGTCGTGCCCTACCTTCTCAAGCAGCGCAGACGCCTCCAAAAATCCCTGAAGGAAAAGCAGGAAAGCAACTCGCAGCTGGCAGCCGCTGTGGTGGCCGGTCGGCAGAGGATTGTGGCGCTGCAGGCGCAGGTCCACCAGCAGAGGGAGGAGTGGCAGGTGGGTGCCGCTGTGACTGGAAATCGGGGCCAGGCAAATCACGGGGGTCACACTTGGAGATTGAGGATCAGATTAAAAGACGGGCCCTTGAAATACAGGTAGTCCTTGACTTATGTCCATTTGCTTAGTGACCTTTTGAAGTATAACAACACTGAAAAAAGGGACTTGTGACCGTTTTTCACACTTAGGACCGTCGCAGCATCCCCGCAGTGACGTCGGACATTTGGCAACTGGCATGCACTTATTGCAGAGTCCTGGGGTCACGTGATCAGCATTTGTATCCTTCCCAGCTGTCTTCGGACAAGCAAAGTCAATGGGGGAAGCCGGATTCGCTTAACGACCACATGATTCACTTAACATTTGCAGTGATTTGCTTATTGTGGCAAAAAGATTATAAAAATGCTGCAAAACTCACTGAACAACTGCCTTACTTAGCAATGGAAATTTTGGGCTCCATTGTGGTCATAAGTCAAGGACTACCTGTACAGCCAGATGAATCAAAAAGAGAGATCTAAATTCAGATCCCAAACTGAGGAAGAACAAAAATTAAAACAGTTTATTAATTAGAAATGATTTTTTTAACATTTGTGACTAGCACAAGAAGAGACCAGCCTGCCCATAGAGCAGGGATGTCCAACCTTGGCAACGTTAAGACTTGTGAACTTCAACTCCCAGGATTCCCCAGCCAGCTGGGAGTTGAAGTCCACAGGTCTTTTTTAAAAAATATATTTTATTGATTTTTTTAAAGATAATCTTTAGTGCTTGGTAAACAACATGTTGTCTGGGTTCGTATATTTATCAACAATAATAATTTCTATGATTCCATAATCAACATACTAGCTAGTGATACATTTCCGTGATCTTCTCTTCTTCCAATAGTATTCTCCTTTTACCAACATTGAGCAAATACAGTTCTTAGTATTTTCGATACGTACAAAGTTGAATATAAACATTTTTCTAGTATTTATAGAAATAACAATAACATCAGTGTGTAACATTTTTTCTAATCAGCTTATGTTTCAATTGTATTTGCAAAGAGTCATCTTATTAAATCACTATAGGTCCTGTTTTCAGAGTTCTTATTTAAGCTTAACTTCCCCTCAGTATTCAAAACATTCTTGTCAGTTATGATTTTCTCAAGATTAATTACTTTTAAATATCCAAACATTTCACTCACATAAGCCATCCCAGTATTTTTACATTTCCCGTATCATAAACAAGTATTATACTACTTATAAATCACATCCCTCTTACTGTAGGACCCATTTATATCCAAAATTTATCTATTCTTTTAACCATATTCAAACAAGTGTTTAGTCATATAGTACTCCATCTGGTAAGTCAAATCATCTGATCTCTTAAATCTAACTCTAGCCTTCTTCTTTTGCCAAACAGCTTTCCTATCAGTGTATTCAGCTTGCCAGGGGATTCTTCCTGTGTTTTGATGAATGTTGTTAGGAATGGGAAGGACAAATTTGGTGGGGTGCTTTTGAGCGGGATGTTCGCCCATTTATATTTGTTAGGGAGCTTCCACTTCTCCCTCAATTTCTCTTTTCATTTTTGGTCTCCCAGACTCTAGTGGTTCTCCTGGCAGTTCTATAATCCATTTTATCGGATCTTCTTTCTTATCCTCAGGTTTGTTTTGAAGTCCTGAAAAATAAAATGCCTTTTCCATTTCCAATATTATAACAGATTCTTGCCGATTTTTCTTTGCCTGTGATTCTCTTCGTTTGAAGCCTCCATCCTCTGATTTGTGTTCTATTGTCTTGATTTGTTTGGTAATTCTTTATCATCATTTTCTGAGAATTTTTTAATTGTGAGCTTAGGTTAAAGATGTGCTCATTTATGTCATCTAAATTATTTTTAATCTCATCATGATTTGAAACAATTGTCATTTGAATTAGTTGCAACATAGCATGCATTTCCTCCTGGAAGATATTTGCCTTGTCTTGAAGTATTACTCCTGCAGGTCTCTGATGTTCCAGGCTGGGCACTTCGGAAGAAGATATTGGGTGTGGTTTCCCACCAGTTTTAGTTAGGTATGCAACATCCATTTTATCTCCCCCTCCAAATAATCTTTCACTGGTAGCATAATCCCCGTATATTAGACTTATCAAACCAACCAATCTTAAGGTCCAAACAAAGTCTTGTATAGTTCTTATCTTTATGTATGGCCTTTATAGTCCAATGTGTTTCCAATTATCAGTCCACCACTGAAAGCAATATTTTATAACAGTTCTTCTGCTCAGGGGTCCTACAATTATCAAGCAGCCAAAATTGCAGTCCAAAATGTTCACCTATGAGTAATCCAGTAGCTTCCCCTCTAGAAGAGTAGCTAAAGTCAAGGTGTTTCTTTCTCTGCAAAGAATTCTTGACCTTAAACATCACAGCTTAGTAAGTGTTTATAATCCAAGAAGGTCAGCAGTTTTTATAACAATTGTAGTTCTCAGTCTATAGTAGATAGTCCATTGTATTTTCTTTCCTCTGTTCCCAGCTGTTCTCTATTTAGCTAAGAGTCACTGAGGATCAAAGGATAAGTTGTTCTCTATTTCTGGGCATCTTGCCAGTTTCTGAGCCAAGGCAGCTATAGTTTTATACTGGGTTCCACCACTAGATGTCAGTAACTATTCATTTTCCAACTTTTATAACAGAAAATTATTTTCTTATAATTTCATCAGTACTCTTTCAAATGGAAAATCTTAACAGTTTCCATAATTTTCAAGTTTCTCCAGACTGTAGTTTTATATTAATTTCATTTCAATGTATTTATGTCCCCCATAAAAATTAGACGCCTTCTATGGAAGGGTGGGGCTGCTATCCTTCTCGCTTTCGGAGTATTTTTTGCTTCTTGGGAATCTTTTCCAGAAAATCAGTTGCAAGATAGAAGAGAGAAGATCGATATTCTCACCCAGTTCCAAACACGCTGTTCAGTCTGTTCTAGTTAGTGCTTTTGGACTTTGGCTGTTGGTAGCTTGGGCTAGTCACCAAATGCAGCTAGCCTTTCTCCTGTCGGTTTGTATGGCTTCCCCAGATCAAGCAGATCGACCATCTTTCTGTGATCAACGGGGGGGGGCCTCCTTCTTTGTCGTCTCTTTGGGGCGACTTTAGACCCATTTAGGGTCCCTGGCAGGACAAAATCAGCCGTGAGGTCCGGAGCTCCGCAATCTCTTGGCTGTATCGCTAAGACGCAAAACCGGAAGTTTTGAAAGGTCTTAAAATTGCTCCAGTTGGAGACCCCTGCCTTACAGGATGCTGATCTCCCTCAGACCTGCTCTGGTGTCCTCTAGCAAGGGCAGCAGGACACAAACACACCTCAATACAGGTAGTCTTTGACCTATGACCACAGTTGGGCCTGGGAAACATGTTGTTGAGTGGTGTGATCATTAAATTAGGCATTACATGACCACATCCAATTTTACAACCTTTTTGCCACAGTCATTGAGACCTCACGTGACCATGACTTCCGAGCTCTGCTGGCTTCTCCACTGACTTTGTTGGAAGCCAGTTGGAAAGGTTGCAGATGGGGATCATGCGGCCCTGGGACGTGGCAGCCATCATAGATGCCTACTGGTTGCCATGTGCACCAGTTGTGATCGGGTGATGCAGGGATGCTGCGACGGTCAAAAGGACAAGGACTTGTCTTAAGTCACTTTTTTTCAGCACTGTTGTGACTTTGAAAGGTTACTAAATGAATGGTCATAAATCAAGGACACGCTCGATTAAGGTGTTGGGACACTTTATTGCTGAAGATGGCAGTTCTTCCAGCAGGATTTCATAGGGAAGGATCTCTGATTGAACCTGGGAAGGCCCTGCAAGACCTCGCCTGAAGGCAGGACGAGAAGCAACGGAGGGGAACTAATCAAGGAGAGAAGAAGCAATTTAGAACTGAGAGAAGTTTCCTGACAGTGAGAACAGTTAATCCGTGGAACAGCTTCCCCCCAGAAGTTGTGGGTGCTCCATCAGTGGAAGTTTTTAAGAAGGGACTGGACAGCCACTTGTCTGGAATGGTATAGGGCAGGCATGTCAAACTGCTGGCCCGCGGGTCGGATGCGTCACGCCGAAACCGCGCCCACCCCATTGCCGGCAATGGGGGAAAAGTCCCAATACGTCGCGAGTTTGACATGCCTGGTATAGGGTCTCCTGCCTGGGCAGGGGGTTGGACTAGAAGACCTCCGAGGTCCCGTCCAACTCTGTTACTCTGACAAGAATCCCACATTGTAGTAGCCCATCTGTTCTCTGCAGATCCTCTTGAGCCATATTTCTGAACCTCAGTGACTTTAAGAAGAGTGGACGTGTCTCCCAGAAGTCCCCATGGTGGCTGGGGGATTCTGGGAGTTGAAGTCCGCCCCTCAAAGTCGCAGAGGTTAAGCAACACCGCTGTAGAGTGAGGGAGGCTGTTTCCTCTTACTCAAAGGCTGTTCTGGCAGTGGACTTAACCTCTTCTACCCTCCTTTCAGGGAATTGTTATCGAGGGCCGGACGATGATGGGGACCGTTGAGGATCTCTCCTGAGAAGGCCCGGCCTGGCTGCTTTTTGTGGGCGAGGATGCGAGGGAGACCTCGGAGAGCCACACCAGGGATCCTGTGGTTTTTTCTGCCAGATTTCCAAAGCAGCCAGTCTGCGGAAGAGGGCCGCTCCCTCTCAGCTTGACTGGGGTGGGAAGCTGGGCATGGGGGTGCATGTGATTGTGTATTTATCAAAATATTACAGCTCCTGCTTTGTATTTATTTCACTCAGAATGTTAATTCTGCAAGCTCTCTTGTTTGACAGCTGTGAACTTGTACAAGTACGGCTGTGGGACATCCAAATAATACAATCAGATAATGAGTGATTGTATTCTATAGTATTCTATAGTACAGTGGTGGCGAACCTATGGCACGGGTGCCAGAGGCGGCACTCAGAGCCCTCTCTGTGGGCACACGTGCCGTCACCCCAGTCTTAGACCTTCAACTGGGTTTTATAAAACCTTTTCGCTTTAGGCCTCCGCCGCTGTGTGCAAAACAAAAAAAAAAGGTTCAATCAGTCAATTTCAACTTCTCAAGGGAAAAAGGAAGATCTTGCAAAGTTGGAATTGATTGATTGAACTTTTTAGTCCCACCCAGTCTGCCGTTACCACCGCAGCCATGCACACCCAATGGGCCACACCCACACAATTGGGCACGCCCACCCGGCACTCGACGATGCATAAGTGGGTTTTGGGTTGCAGTTTGGGCACTCAGTCTCTAAAAGGTTCGCCATCACTGCTATAGTATATAGAATACCTTCTTGAAATTTGGAGATTGCATCTAGATGTATGCCAGCTGGGGAATTGTGGGAATTGAAGTCTGGACCTCTTAAAAGTTGCCAGTTGTTGAAAAAGTACTGGACTAGTTGGTCTCCCAGCTCCCTTCCATTCATCATCATCCTTTCTGACATCTGAAGATTTGCCTCTCGCCCTCAGCCGTCTCGCTCTCAAGGTTCAGCCAGCTTTTCCAGCACCTTGACGAGCTTTTATTTTTAGATTCCTGGTCATCTTTCTCGCCCTTTTCCAAATTCTTCCCATGCCTCTGAAAAAGGAGGCCTGACTTTCACTGACACTTTTTTGGTCTGGGAAGCGTGGAAGAGATTTTGGCAGAAGAAGACCTGCCTGTCTCTTCTGCAGAGTTCTTCATGCAGCTCTTCAGGGTTATTTATTTTATTTATCAAATTTATTTGCTGTCCGTCTCACAGTTTAGGAGACTCTGAGCTGCTGGTTAGAATAATGGGAGAGGAACACCCCCTAGACCCAGACAAAGCTCCCAAGAGCTTCTGGATCTGGGTCCTAGACGCGTCCCCCATTTTGCTCTGATGCGGAGACCTCTTGGAGCCAGGAAGGGACATCAGCAAGGCTCCTCACAGAAAGAACAGTCTCCCAAACATCTGCTTTTGATAAGGAACCGGCTTGGGAGGAAGGCTGGCCCAGCTCAGGACTCTGTAAGCACAAAAGCCTTGAGGTCACGACGAATGTGCCAGGCAGAATTGCTGGCCAGCCCAGCCCGGGTTTCCTGGGGCCGGTGAGAGACGCCAAAGAAGGCTGCGCTCCCTCCCTCTTTCTGGCTGGGCTTCTACAAGTCGGGGAGCTGTTGGGGTCTTGCTGAAACAGTGAGTTGGTGCTGCTTCTCCTCCAGGGAGACCTTCTACAGCGGACTGAAGTCCCTCACTAACGCAAACACGTTGCATGCTGCTCACCTCCTCCAGTTTAGCTTGAGACCCCAAACTTCGCAATGTGTTATATTGCATAGAGATTTCTCTCTTTTCAAGCTCTCCTAATTCGAATTTTGCATCTCCCTTTCCTCCAGTTTCCTCACAAATCTATATTTTGGTGTCGGATCCCCACATTTGAGAACCACTGAATTAATAATCTTAGAATAGGCTGGATTCACACGTCCGCTAAGCCCTAAAAAGATTAACTGCAGTTCATGCAAATCAACACATCTGCATGTGGCTGCTAAGTATTGAATAAACTTGTTGAAGCCAAGACTCCAGCAGCCACAGCTCTGTAAAATGTGCAAAGAATTGTCTGCCTCCTTGGGAAATCATCTTCATGGCTATGAGTTGCAGCCACCTGTCTTTTGTTCAAATATAATAAACAACCTCCTGATGGTAAACCTGTACAAGAAGGGAAGAGTCTGTTCTTGTCCTGAAGGCAGGAGAGGAAGCAGTGGATAGAAACCTATCAAGGAGAGAAGCAACCTAGAACTAAGGAATTTCCTGACAGAACAGTCAGTGGAACAGCTTGCCTCCAGAAGTTGTGGCTGCTCCATCACTGGAGGCTTTTAAGAAGAGACTGGACAGCCATTGTCTGAAATGGCATAGGGCAGTGATGGCGAACCTTTTAGGGACCGAGTGCCCAAACTGCAACCCAAAACCCACTTACATATCGTCGGGTGCCGGGTGGTCATGGCCCATGGGGTGGGTGTGGCCCATTGGCTGGGCATGGCTGCGGTGGTAACGGCAGACTGGGTGGGACTAAAAAGTTCAATCAATTCCAACTTTGCGAGAACTTTTTTTTTCCTTGCAAGAAGTTGAGATTGATTGATTGATTGATTGAACCTTTTTTTTTTTTTTTTTTTGCACAAGGCAGCGGAGGCCTAAAGCGAAAAGGTTTTATAGAACCCAGCTGAAGGCCTAGGACTGGGGCGATGGCGCACGTGCCCACAGAGAGGGCTCTGCGTGCCACAGGTTCACCACCACGGGCATAGGGTCTCCTGCTTTGACTAGGGGCTTGGACTAGATGACCTCCAAGGTCCCTTCCAACTGTTGTGCTGCATTCTGCACCCAAGGCCTCTTGGGGTCAAGCCAGGCCAGTTATGTTCAGCAGCAGACAAGCCGTTAAGGGCTCTTTCAGGCTCCTTCAATTGCATGTTAAAAGCCTCTCCCACCTTAGCTTGACTGTTTGATTACACTTCGTTTAAATCGCTACCTTTTGCTTCAATAATTCAGAACGGTTTACATTTCAGTTCCCAGGCTGCGAAGGCGGCACCTTCATTAGGACAGCTGAAGTTGTACCAAATTGTTGTTTTTGAGCTTTGAAAATCCTTCTTCAGGCTGGGAGGGGAACAGTGGCTGGTCTCAGTGCCACGTCTGTCTCAAGCCACATTGTATTAGGCTGGCTTGGCCCCGCTTGCTAGGCCAGGATAAAGTGGGGCCAGGAAATTCGTAGTTTTACATCTTGGTTTGTGTTTGGCGTCTTGCAACTCAGCCAGAGCCGCGGGGTGAACGGGAGGCCCTCCAAAGAAGCCCTGTCTGGAAGGAGTAACTTCCAGCCGTCAAAGGCCGCCCTCTCATTATTCTTTGTATCTCGGCAGTGCCCAGATTCGAAGCGGAGGAAAAGAGGCACACGTGGCATTCAAGGGCAGCAGAGCGTCCCGGGCATCGGCCGGTGCAAAGAGGTCCACGCCCCACGGAGTTTCCTCTCCCCGGATCTGGAAGGGCTCCCAGGGCTTCAGTTCAGCCGTGCGGCTGCCCCAGGCAGGACGCCTGGTGGGGAAAGGACGGAGGAAGCGGGGATTTAAATCACAGGCTTTCCTCACTTTGGCCCGGCTTATCTGCACAGGCAGGACAAACCATGCCATTTGCTGGTAATCACAGCCCTGGGGCTTTGGGCCTCCTGGCCTCAGTCCCGTCCAGTGTCTTTGGCCAAAAACCAGCCCCCTCGCCCCCCCCCCCAATTCTCTGGGAACCGCTTCCCATGAAAATGTCTGAAACAAACTAAGAGCAAGGGGTGGGGACTCCTGCAGAGGCTTCCAAAGGAGAGGGAAAGGAGGTGTAGAGGAGTGGGAGCATGCTAGTAAGATGGCCACATGGCAGTTAGGTTGCCGTAACAGTCTGGATAAAGGGTACTCAGAACTGAGCACCAGTAGTCCTCAACATATGACCAAAATTGAGCCCAAAATTTCTGTTGCTCAGCAAGACATTTCTTAAGTGAGTTTGCCCCATTTTACGACCTTCCTTGCCACAGCTGTTAAGCGAATCACTGCAGATAAGTTAGTAAAATGGTTGTTCGGTGAATCTGGCTTCCCCACTGACTTTGCTTTTCAGAAGGTCGCAAAAGGGGATCACGTGACCCCGGGAGAGACTGCGACCGTCATAAATATGAGTCAGTTGCCAAGGGGCCGAATTTTGATCACGCGACCACAGGGATGCTGCAGTGGTCATAAGTGTGAAAAACAGTCATAAGTCTTTTTCAGTGCCATTGTAACTTTGAGCAGTCACTAAATGAACTGTTGTAAGTCAAGGACTAGCTGTACTTGAAGATTGCCTCAGTGGTCGCCCCTCCCTTCAAGGTTTTCTGTCTTGCTAACATGCTCCACATTCCACCATCAGAGGCGAGAACCGCTGTCTGTCTCTTTAGTTTTCGCTCTAGTGCAGTTTTTAATAATAATCTAATCTGTGTGGTTTTAAGGTGTTAATGTTTTAATTGTTTTGTTTCATAACATAAGTATAAGCAAATAAATGAGTAATTCAGTAAGTAAGTTTGGATGGCCAGCAGAGAGATGCCACCACAGGAGCAATGGGTGCCTGAAGGACCAGGAAGGGCAAAATCTTTTTCATAGCACATAATCAATCAATCAATCAATCAATCAACAGGGATGCCTGATCAAACAAAAGCAGCAATTTAAAAGGAAATTTGGTTTGTTTCCCTGAGACCAATTCTTTAAAAAAGAAAGATGATTCCAAACAACTATAATCCATTAAAAGGGCACAGAATGAAATTACAGCAATGCCCAAATCCACACAGTAAAATATTAAAATGTTGGTCAATAAGGTCAAAACTGGAAAATTCCCAACTTAGTCCCCTAAAAGGAAGCCAGCCGATCCAGCCTGGGGCGAGTTTGAAGCCTTCCACTTTCTTGGGGTTTCTGTAGAAATCCCGGCTTGAAAGAAGTGGCTGTTGGAGTTAGGCCGGGTGGCGGGAGAGGGCCAGTCCCCGGAGAGGCGGAGCGCAGGGCAATCCGGGCTGCCTCTGAACTTGGGAAAAAAGCCACGGAGGGGAAGGGGCAACCTGACTCCTGCAAGGCGGTAGGGAAGGCAAGGAAACACGGATCTGCCAGCCTCTGAGCCAGGATACCCACAGGAGACAGTCAAGAGGGTGGCTCTGATGGTGGAATTGAAGCTCCATCACGGCACACATTTTGTGCAGGCGTCAGTCGCTCCCTGGCATCTCTTGGGAGAGCCTCTAGTCCAGTGGTTCTCAACCTGTAGGTCGGGACCCCATTTAGGGTCGATCGACCATTTCATGGGGGTCGCCAAGCAAGGCTGTCTGCCATTTTTTTTGTCCGCCATTTTTTTCCCCTTTTCCGGCGGGTGCCTTACCTCCCATGGGCTGGGCCAGCTGGTGGTCGGCCTGCTCCGTCTCTGCCGCTTGCCAGCTACGCCTCGGCCGGCGCAGGGGGCGGAACCACGCATGCGCGGCGCTCCCGGGCAGGGAAAGTCCTCGACTTACGACCGGTTTAGTCCTCGACTTACGACCGGTTGGGGGTCGCGGCATTAAAAAGGTTGAGAACCACTGCTCTAGTCCAGGGCTCTCCGACCTTGGCAACTTTTAAGACTTGGGGACTTCAACTCCCAGGATTCCCCAGCCAGCATGGAGTTGAGGTCCCCAAGTCTTAAAAGTTGCCAAGGTCGGAGAGCCCTGTTCTAGACAGCGTTTCTCGACTTTGGCAACTTTTAAGCTGGGTGAACTTCTGGGAGTCGAAGTCCTGACAACTGAAAAGCTGCGAAGCGCTCCTGCACCGAGCAGGGGGCTGGACCAGATGACCTCTGAAGCCCCTCCAAAAATGCCGCCACGAAAACCATCCGAACTTTACATACCCTCTTGCGCCCCACCTTGAAGGAGGCCTCCACTCACGGCTTCCCCCCCCCCAACAAACTGCTCGGAGCCCCGCCAGATACCCCCCCCCCACAAGAGTCTGCCCAAACGAGCTTGGCGGCGCCCCCGCCCTCTTTTCCAGCCTCCCCCGGCCCGGAGCCTGGCAGGCTTCCCGCAACGCCCCCGGGAGCCGGAGGAGGAGGCGGCGGCGGCGACGCGCCCCCCTTCTGCTGCCAAGGCCGGCTCGGGGGAGTATAAAGGGGGCGCCGGGCAGGCCGGGCCGAGAGAAGCGCCCGGAGCAGCCCAGCCTCGCCATGAACGCCCTTCTGCTGGCCGCCCTCTGCGCCCTGGCCGGGCTCTGCCTCGCCCGCCCAGGTAAGGGAGCCCCGCCGCTCTTCGGCCGCCCGTCCCCGCCGAGCCTCTCCCGGGGCCCCGGCCCTGGGAGGGGGAGCCGCTCGGCCCAAGGAAGGGGCTTCTCCCCCGGGAGGGCAGGGGGCTGCGGGGTGCCTGCCGCCTCTTATCCCCCCCGGACAAGGCTGGGGCGGGCAGAGGGGAGCCCCTCGCTCATGCGCCCTCCGCCCCTCCTCCTCTGCAGGGGACGCCGCGCACGCCCGGAGCGCCGACGGGTCGCCCAGGTCGGAAGGTGAGTGGGG